TAGTAAATCATAAGAGACTTGTCATTCAAATAACAATTCTTTGCACACAACAATCTGTGTGCTACTAAATTTGTATGAAAGCCAGAAATGTATAGAACATTCTTTAGTAATATCTTGTCAGCATCTGTCAGCATTTAAATATAAACTTCAACATCACTGTATCTGTGAATTTTACAATGAGTATTTCCAACAAGCACAATATTCAAAGAATCAGCATCTCAGTAGTTTTGAAATCTTGTAAAATCATTGCAAATATGTGCATCTGCACCCTCATCTAATATGAAGCTGTTTCATAATGAATAGAGTTCATATTTATTGCTCATGTTAGTGGAGTTAAAAATCATTACAGAAGCAAAGATAGTTGAATTAGAAGATGTCTTGACAATGATTTTATTAGTATCATCTTCTGTCACATTGCTCAAAGCATTAACTTCTTCATTAGCATTTAAATTCTTTAATTTCTTTCAATTTGCAATCTTTTTCTTTAATTTTCTGTTGTTCACTGAATTCTTCAATGCTTTCTTGATCTTATTATCAATTTTTGAATTCAGTTTCCAGTCTGTTGGTTGAATAAGTGAATTAAAATATGAGCAGTACACTCAATTATATTGCTCTCTGTAAAGACATGCAGAGTTTATATTTTCATTATTCTTCTCTGATGACTTATTTTAAATGATTCTTTCAGTGAAATATGCTGATGACTTATTACTTTGATCTGACTCAGTATCTTTCTTTAACAACTGACAAAATATCTGAATATATTTATAAATATTCAGCTCATGTTCTCAATTCAAATTCTCCTCAGTTAGAAGCTTAGATAGATATATATAGAAGAACTTTTTATAATTTAAAGAGATAGCTCTCAGAAATTGTTTCAAGACAAAGAGTTTGCAGATATATTTGCACATATTATACACAGTTGTTCAATTCAATGATTCTTCATAGTTCAGTAAATATGCTTTAATTACTTAATTCTTTGACTCTTCTTTAAGAGTTTTGAATTTCTCTACTAGTCTAGCTTTCAATTGAGAAGCATTCACTGCATTTCTAGCATATAGAGTCTTTAGATGTTCTTTTGTAGTAGCTTCTATATCATCTGATTCACTTATTGTAAGAATTCTCAGAGACAGATCTACATAATTTCTTATTGTCTTCTATAGTTTTTGCATCACTAAGACTCTCTTCTCTTAAGTTCTGTATCAATCTCTTTGCATATTTTTTGCATGTTTCATATCTGCAGAAGTTGCAGTTTCTTCAGTTTTTTTAGAAGAAAGAAAATTCTCTATAATGAATTTCTGAAGTTTGGAATGTGTTTCTTTTGTCAGATCAACATACACTCACAATCAGTGAAGATTTACTAAATGCTTGATGTCTTCAATTCATTTTTCTCAATCATCAGAACTATTTAGCATAACAACTCTTCTAGATGATTTATTCATTTTTAATTAATTATTGAAGTGAGATGTTGACTCTAGATTATGATATTTCATAGACTTAGATTGATAAAATATAGATGCATTAGATCTCCACAAACTCTGCAATTAAAATTTAAGCTTAAATAGAGAGTTCAATATATGATCTTAAGATACTTAATAGTGATCTCTATTTGTATGGGTAACAAGAGTAAAATAAAGTATCTTAAACATATCTTTAGATAACAATCAAATTCTTGAAAGAGCTCAGACTCATAACTATCAGACAACACAGAAGCATATGATGATTATGTGACTGAGCATCTATAATATTGTGTCTGATCTTGCTCCTAACAAATAAGACACAGATACTTATAGACAAACATGCTATAATCAAGACTATGGAAAAAACATATGAAAAACCCCTAGCAAACCTCCACCAGTCTGATAGACAAAGATACTGAAATTGGTACCATGGTCAAGAAGAGGAGGTGGCAAACCTACGGTTCTCTGGTTCCTCCTTCAGAGACCTGGTCACCTGACAAGTCACCTGACTCCTGCTCAACACAGACCCATGTCGCGAATATCAAAGTAAAATCCACCAGGACGGGATGGGCGAAGTGGCGATCCGGACCAACAATGGTCCGGCCGGTGTTAGCGTTGCTTGGCACCCATCTTTCCATCCACGTCTTCACATCTCCAAACTCCATCAATAAATGCGGATAAAGAGACAGTTTCTCACTCTCCAATTTCAGGCCTTAGGCGTGCTGCGCTGGTTTAGTACAGCAAAAATACTATTTTCATGGTCATGGGCTTTTCAATGTCGTTACTGGACTGGCTGTTCTTTTCTATTCTAGCTTTCTCGCAACCTTGGAAGCAGATAGCGAATCCAAGGATAACTACGTATTGTCAGCTTGTTTCTGATATCCAATTTCTATTTTTGCTTCAATGAAACAACCTTACTCGCCTTATACCTATTATTTTAGCGAGCTTCATCTTTGCGTCAATAATAGTGTTAACCACCCCGTTGACACTTCTATGCGCCTGGTCTGGGAAATGAACCCTTCCTACCAGTCTTCCTAAGGTTGATTTTGCTCTGCATTGTCCATGCCATTTTGAGCCATAGCTCTTTGATGCTGAATGCCGCTATCTGCCTTGCCTTATGGAGTTTTCGTGGAACAGAAAAAAAAGGATATGCTGTCTATTTTGACCCGACGTTACCGACCTGTCCTGAGCAAGAAAATATCCTACAGAGTATAGCCCTATGGAATGTTGGCCTTGTCAGTCGTTTCCCACTGTAGGGAAAAACAAGTTTTGGACCAGGCCGCTTCCTGTTTCGTTCCTTTTCTCTGCCGTCAAAAAGTCGTGTGCGTGGATTAAACGGACGCGTGGGGCATACCTTGTGGTCAGATCCCAAGCAAGATGGAACAATTAGATCTCATCGCAAACTGGCCAGTCAGGAAAGGCAATGTTTAATGTTCCGAGTCGTGGCGTGCGGGAATAGCTTGGCTCGCCTTGACGGAGCTGCCCAAGCGCGGGATGGCCAGGTACCTTGAGGAGGGCGGGGCTGGCGCGCGGCCCTATGATACGAGGGAAACAAAGCTGATTCGAGCGGGTTTCCGCGCCAACCCAACGGGAGGGCGGCATTTGTTTCACTGGAGCTGGAGACAAGCCCTTCAGCTGGCATGCGCGGCGGTTCTGGCCTCCTCTCCTACCAACCGTGCTACCCTACAGACAGGACGCGAAGGCACAGGCAGTGTGGATACGGCGCGCCCGGATGTGCCGCTGGCGTCGACTACGGCGTGGAATGCGGTCGATGTGAGCACCTTGGTGGCTGCCAAGGCTCCACCAGCTGCACTCGCATATCAGCGCCGTTGGTTGGCGAGGAGGAGCGAGCCCGGCCTTTTTTGGTTGTAGAGGGTATAAATCCCTTTGAACGCCTCCGTCAGTGAGCTCCTATTCTCAGTTTCTTCGCCTTGTCACAGTCCGCTCGTTACCCACCGAATTTCCGCCGCAAGATCCCAAACCATGAAGACTTTTACTCTCGCCCTCACGGCCTTGGCCGCCTTCTCTATGACTATGGCTCAGAAGACCCCGGGGCCATCTCCAACCAATTCCTACGGCTGTGAACCCCATGATGATCATTGGTATGCTTCAGTCCTTCCCTCGGATACCTCTTCTATCTGACTCGAGCATAGGCATTGTAAGGGGCCCATCACCTCCGCCGGTGCACCTTCTCGGACACCGTCACCTGTATTACCTCCAAGCCCTACGGCGTCTTACGGCTGTATGCCCCATGGTGATCACTGGTGAGTCCTCATCTGATCCTCAAAAGCGAAGCTACTTTGCTAACTCCAACAAAGGCACTGCTCAGGACCTATTTCTGCCCGCCCTTCATCCAGCTCTATGCCGCCCGTGATTTCGAGCCAGAGTGGCAGGCCGGCTTCAACAACGCGCCCCAGTCAATATTCTACAACCAGCAGACCCATGGGCACTGGACCAGGTGGCTCTACCACCACCAGATCAACGGCAGCAGGCACAGCAAGACCGTCAGTTTCTGTCTTTCCTGGAGCTGCAGCTGCTCTGCGGCCTGAGGGCGCTGCTTTGGTGGCCGCTGCAGCCATTGTTGCATATTACGTTTAAGAATAAATGGCTGCCACATATGCCCTTTTTCTCTTCTAATGTTTCAGGTATTTTATTTTATTTCGAAAGGGGGAATTAATCAGCAATATCGAAAGTGTCTGTATGACAGACAATTTTTTACTGGTGTATCATAGGAATTATATTTGCCAACCGGCATTTTTTACCTTCATCTAGCATCTTGCATAAACCTCCTTGTACTTCGTATGTACGTATGTGCATACGCCTTCATTTTATAGGCCGTGTCGCAAATTTTCCCTGTACTTCCAACCCCTGCAATCGCTGACTAGGATCACTAACGTTTGGTTAGTGTCCGTGCTGCATGCGAACCTACCACGGTTGTTCCAATCTGGTTCCGAGTCTGTGAGCAACCGTGAGTGAGGTTACACTCAAGACTGTTTTTTACCGGGAAATGGCGTCGTTATAAGCACCGGTCTGTCAGGTATGGTCTTGCACTATACGGAGGGGATGCTAGCTATTGATCAATTTAATAGTACCTACAAAGCAGTGTCATTCAATACAGGGCAACGAGCCTAGCTACCGCATTCGACGTGGTGCCTATACTCCGTATATCTTCTCGAGTCTTCTACTCGGAATAGATATTGGCTATTTACATTTCAACTAGTCTCGCGAGAAGTATTTAGAAAACAACCAAGTAACGGAGTTATATGCCGATACGACCGTTAGGATTCCCCGGCGAAGCTTGATCAAAAAAGGGTGACGCAACTTTAAGCGGAAACTGCGAATTTTGTGATAATTGCATTGGCGGAAGAAATTGAAGACTTATCGAATGACGTCTGGCCCATGCATCCAGTGGCTGACTGCAAATATATAAGCCCTGGCGGCCCCTCATGAATATGACCTTGCAATTTATTTTCGTATTCTCTCGATATCTTCTGAAGGAGCTATTTAGTGGACAAAACATCAAAGTTATATATTTTTGTGGCCATGGGCTCACTAGAAGAACCGCAATATGATGTTCTTATTGTTGGGGCCGGGTTTTCGGGCATATATACACTCCACATGCTCCGAAATGCCGGAGTGAAATGCAAAGTGTACGAAGCGGGGGCCGACATTGGTGGGATCTGGTACTGGAACGCATACCCAGGTACAGATCAAAAGTCCGGCTCAAAATATATGTTAATAAGAGAGCCGCTAATTCTACCTGATAACCAGGTTGTCGAGTTGATTCTGAAGTGCCAGTATATGAATACTCGGCACCAGAGCTCTGGAAAGATTGGACATGGACAGAGAAGTATCCAGGAAGGGCAGAGTTGAGAAGATACTTTGACCACGTTGACAAAGTATGGGAAATAAAGAAGGACGTAGAATTCAACGTCAGAGTAATTGGTGGCCAGTTTGACGTCACCAACAACATCTGGAAAATTGAAACAGATGACGGGCGAACAACAACGTGCAGGTTCTTTATCCCAGCGACTGGGTTTGCAGGCATAAAATATATTCCGAACATTAAGGGGATCGAGTCTTTTAAAGGCGAAATGCATCACCCCTGGAGTTGGCCAAGGGAAGGAGTTGATGTTAAAGGAAAGCGAGTGGGAGTGATCGGCACCGGCGCAAGTGGAGTCCAGATTATTCAAGAAATCGCAGATGAAGTGGAAGAGTTGTTGGTGTTTCAGCGGACCCCAAACCTTGCTCTCCCAATGCGTCAATCAAAATTAGTGCCCGAAGAGCAAGAAATAAAGAAGCCGGAATACCCTCAGTTTTACGAGACACGAATCACGACGTTTGGGGGAATGAAGTACGATTTCAAAACAAAGAAAACGGCGGACGACACGCCTGAGGAACGTGAAGCATTTTTCGAGGGTATGTGGGAAAGGGGGGGGTTCGAATATTGGCTGGCTGGGTATAAAGATACGTTATTAGACCCTGAGGCAAACCGCCATGCTTATGATTTCTGGGCTAAAAAAACGCGAGAAAGAATCAATGATCCGCAGAAGAGGGATTTCCTTGCACCGTTGGAGCCCATCCACCCATTTGGAACAAAAAGGCCTGCGCTGGAGCAACACTACTATGAGGTATTCAACAAACCAAATGTGTACTTGATTAACTTGAGAAAGAATGGCATCGAGGAAATCAAGCCCGATGGGATCCTCCTTAGCGACGGGTCATTCCACCGCTTGGATGTAATCGCAATGGCAACAGGCTATGATTCCATCACCGGAGCGTTGACCAATATGGGGCTGCGCGATATCCACGGCACGCCGTTGGCAGACGGGTGGAAGGGGAGCACGATGTCGTACTTAGGGATGTGCCGGCACGGGTATCCAAATATGTTCTACATGTATGGGCCGAATGCACCAACTTCGTTTAGCAATGGGCCTACCACTGCTGAAGTGCAGGGCAACTGGATCGCCAGTATCATTCAAACACTCCAGGAGAAAGGGATCCGGTATATCGAAGCGAAAGCAGAAGCAGAGGTGGAATGGAAAACATTCATCGACAGAGCAAACGATCGGACTCTCTTTCCTCTTACAGATTCCTATTATATGGGAGCGAACATCCCAGGGAAGAAAAGGGAGCAGCTTAACTGGGTTTCCGGGTTGCCGGCATATCTTTCTGAATGTAACGAAGCACTGCAGGATTGGGACAAGTTCGTCACTGCATAGTAGTTAGTTAGTTAGTTACCGGTTAGCTGTAGCTAGTCAATTCGCACAAAATGTGCCACTCTCGGGATAATGACTCTGTGCAGATACTCGCAATCCCACAACACCATTCACCCCGCTGACTGTCAGCCATGATGCTTGCGTTGGCGATTTGGTGGCAGTTTCGGGCCCACCGCACGTGACGGCCCCTTTAACTAAATCTCGTGATACGGAATACATAAGCCGCATCCCTGCAAATTCAACGAGCTGTCGAACCAGCCGTCTTGCGGAATACGCGACGGCTGATCTGTGAAGGTCACGGTAGTCGAAGCAGCAGAGCCGTTGTTGCGAAAACTCGCCCGCCGGCCCCCTAGGGTTATTTGTAAGCCCTGTGAGTGCTGCCGCCTTGATCACCCTACCCTGAAATAGCTCTCAGATGTATTTCGTCATCTAGTATAGTGTGGCTGTTCCTGGAGCGACCACCATTCCCTCCCAACCTTGAGAATGCTGTTCTAACCGAAAATCTACGCAGAATATGTGTCTAGATCGAACCGTTATCTCTCGAGCCCATTTCTAAATGTTTCTCGTCCTGTCGATCCTCCATCGACGTAAACACAGGCCACAACCCGCCCTATAGATTATGCGTCGCCCGCCCTGTACTCGCTACGTCTGGAGAAACAAGAGTTTTGAATACTTCTTCCTTTGCTCTTAAAGCTCTTTCTACCCTCAATACACGCTCTTATCCCTCTGATTAGCTACCATCATGGGTTCCGGCGCGGCGGAGCCGGAACAATCATCGCAGAAACAAAAAGCTATTTTACCGACAGAGTTGAGCGTTCCACCCCCGATAGCTGACGTGCACAACAATAATCGGAACGCGGAGCACAAGACCGCATCCGAGCTGACTCCGAAAGACGAATCAAACGCCTGTACCCTTTCCACTTCAGTACCCCAGGCTGTGCTTGATGATTTTGGCTTACCCATTCGAAACACAAGATCATCCTTTAAAAGCGAGTGTATATCAACTGGAGAACCGGAGAGCGTTGGCAAGAGTGAAATCGAAAGTACCACCGTTCTAGGAGCGTCCCTGCCCCGATCTTCATCTGTGCCCTCCCAAATATCGGAAAATCAAGAAAGGAAAAAGGATAAGGTCGATGATTCGGATCGGCGGGTGAGGGGTAGCCCGGAAATATCGGGGTCTCGAGCACCCGTTTTTGCAAAAGCAACTGAATCTCCTGGATGCGGCAAGGTGGATGCTAAAGATGAGACGACGGGATCGCATAGCCGTAGTTATTCCACTGGGCCAGCAGTTTCTGAATGGTCTCATCAACGGATTGCGACAAAAGATGAATCAGCTGATAAGCAAGACGATGGCGGTTGGCAAGATATGCCGGCTCTTGGAGCCTTGGATTTTTATGATGACTACGGCAGGATTGTTGCGCGTGGCTGCAAAGATGAGGGTGGCGAAGCTGTCTATCAAGGACTAGGGGGTGCCGGAAGGGGTTATACTCGAGTCCAAGTTGACGATGATGCCCAATCAGCTACAAGTCTAGATGAGGAGACGAAATATCTTTTCCCGGAGCCGCAAAGCAATGCTCTCGGTATTGAAGACGAGATTCGAGATCCGTTGTCTCAACTGCAAGCGACGAAAACCTTGCTTACAGAAGGACAAAGAATAGCGTATGTTGGAGTCACTAAACTCGTCATCTTTCAGATGGTGAAGGATCTGGAGGCTATTCAGTCTACAAAAGGGACGCGGAAATACATATCTGGCGCCATCGACTCTACAACAAAATGGGGACAGCAGATGATGATTCGTCTTTACGCGCATATGGAAATCGACGCGGCAGAACAGGTGATGATTGAACAGCTAGCTGAGCACGGTGTCCAACCAGCAGACCTTGTTGCTCCGCTCATGCAGAACGCCCGCGTAAAAAACCCTGTGGCGGAAACTTCCTCATCTGTTACAGAACTCTCGGGTTCCCCAGATTGCAACAAGGATTACCCTGCTAGTCATGTTTCCGAGCCATCCTGTGATAGCCCTCCGCCACCCTATGAAGCTCACCAATACGATGACCTACCGGAGGTCCGCACCCCGTCTCAATTGCCATCCTCAGAAAACCTTGACATTGATCTTAGATGGACTATCTTGTGTGACCTGTTTCTAGTACTTATTGCAGATTCGACGTATGACTCTAGGTCTCGCCGTTTACTAGAGCGGGTAGCAGAAGCAATGGACATTTCATGGGTCCAAATATGTCGGTTCGAGAAACGTGTAATTGATGCATTGGAGATGCAAGAAGAGAAAAGTAAAGAAACCTGGGATGAGGCAGATCATATGGAAAAACGGAGAAAGGATGCTTTGAAGCGAAGGTATATGATCATGGGTCTTGCTACCGTTGGTGGCGGCCTAGTGATTGGTTTGTCCGCTGGCTTGCTGGCTCCTGTAATTGGAGCGGGCCTGGCCGCGGGGTTTACTACCATCGGTGTTTCTGGCACTGGCGCTTTTCTTGGTGGAGTTGGCGGTACTGCTTTGATTACCTCTGGTGCAACGATAACAGGTAGTACAATCGGTATACGTGCCTCAAATCGGCGTACAGGCGCGGTCAAGACCTTTGAGTATCGTCCGTTGCATAATAACAAAAGGCTGAACCTAATTGTCACTGCGGCCGGGTGGATGACGGGTAAAGTCGACGATGTTAGACTGCCCTTCAGTACGGTAGATCCCGTAATGGGTGATATCTACTCCATTCTTTGGGAACCTGAAATGCTTCAGAGTATGGGTGCTACTATTAATATCCTTGCTACTGAGGTACGTCACGTTCCTTTCCACCCTTCCCTACCCCTAAAAAGCTTTTCTAATCTTGGAGTCTAGGCACTTACCCAAGGCCTTCAACAAGTGCTTGGCAGTACAATCTTGACCGCCCTTATGGCGTCGCTACAGCTCCCCATTGTCCTTACAAAACTTTCTTACCTAATAGACAATCCCTGGAATGTATCACTTGCTCGCGCCAACGCTTCTGGTCTGATTCTGGCAGACTCTCTTATAGACCGAAATCTTGGGAATCGTCCCATTACGTTGATCGGGTTCTCGTTAGGTGCAAGACTGATATTCTCTTGCCTAAAAGAGCTTGCAGATAAAGGAGCCCATGGAATGATTCAGAATGTGTATCTTTTCGGTTCGCCTATCGTTGCAAACAAGGATGATTATCTCAAAGCTAGGAGCGTTGTATCCGGAAGATTCCTGAACGGATATGCATCCAATGACTGGATTCTAGGATATCTATTTCGGGCCACGGGCGGTGGGATAATGCGTGTTGCAGGTCTAGCACCAGTGGAGGGCATTCCTGGGATCGAAAATTTCAACGCCACCCAATTTGTCAATGGGCACATGGCGTATCGTACCGCCATGCCTCGACTTCTTCGAGAAGTTGGATGGGAAGTGGAAAGCGATGAGTTTAGTGAAATCGAAGATCCAGATCCCGAGAATCACCAAGAACGCCAACGAGATCTAATACGTGAAATCCAGGAGGCTCGAAAGCAAGCTGAAGAAAAGCCAGATAAGAAGAGATTCGGGTTTTTTAAACGAGGAAAGCTTGCCGAGAAAAAAGGATGGGAAACCTACGATGCCGAACAAAACGATAGCAGCCCTCCAAATACTCCTGATGGCAATGTCGATCCTGCTGGTAGCGTTCTCTTTGATATCGACGCTATTAGGGCGGAACTGGCAAGTGAGCAGATCGAAATCAAGCAGCTTGAGTCGACCCTGCCTCCCATCAAAGTCGACTTGAGTTCGCCACAGCCCCCTAAAACGGCAAGCCCTAACCTGCAAAAAAAAGAGTCCCCGTCCGCCACTCCCAGCCCCCGGGAAAGTGCACCCAACAACAGCTTCACGCTGTCTGATCCTCCACGGAGACCAACAGCCACAGGGCTTCAAGATATCAAGCCCCTACCGGACGTTCCACGACGCCCCAACGGTGCTGAAGAACCATGGAAGAACGAGGAAGAGATACAAATGACATTTGATACCGCATACCACACACCCAACGAGTCCTTCATCTCGCTGGGCAACAGCAAATTAACATCACCGCCTCTTCCTTCCTATTCTTCTGCCACTTCCCCCAACAAAATGCCGGATTTCCGTTCACCTTCAAACTTCAACGGCGGGTTTGTGAGCCATAACGCTTGGGCAGACCCTGATGACGGCCACGGCGATGATATAAAACTCACGTTTGCTTAGAAAGTTCTTTCGGAACAATGTATCCTTCTCTTCTATCTCGAAGTATTCTCAATATTTCTACAGTTTTATATTTCTGCAATTAAATATTTGGGCGACCGGAAAGACCTTGGTGTATATTTACGGAGTTGGCAGGCTGTTTGCGAATAAGGTAGCTGGCGTGATTTCTTTTCCATAGCGGCTTCATTTTGGTTTCCATATCTAACAGAATATACTGTTTTGCCACCATCCCTCCTTCCGCAATGCTCCGTGCCGGTTGCCTTATTGCCAAATACTGAGGCCGCTGTTTCTTTATCCGTCGGGTTGCCATTGCCTCAACTCCGATCACCGCCGATGTCCCAACGCTTTTCACTTCCCAGCTCCTTCCTCTGATACACTCGCGCGCCCCAACGTCTTTCCAGTCCTGTCTGTGCCTTCCAAACGAGGTCTGCGTGATCTTGGGCCCGCGAGAGGTCTATAAAAGGGCGCTCCCCCCCCCGGCGAGTTTCTTCTCTTTTATTTTCCCTCCTCACCTTTGCTCTGCCAAAGCATACCACATTCTATCTGTGCTATACCTTGTGCTTCATCCACCTCTCGATCCATACTGTGCTCCATCTCTCGATCCATACTGTGCTTCATCTCTCGATCCATACTGTGCTCCACCTCTCGATCCATACTGTGCTTCATCTCTCGATCCATACTGTGCTCCATCTCTCGATCCATACTGTGCTTCATCTCTCGATCCATACTGTGCTCCATCTCTCGATCCATACTGTGCTTCATCTCTCGATCCATACTGTGCTCCATCTCTCGATCCTTACTGTGTGCTTCATCCATCATCCATCATACTCATTCATCACCCATCATCCATCATTCATCATCCATCATACTCATCCATCATACCACAACTTGTGCTCCATCCATCTCTTGGCTTCTTCCTGGACTTCAACCTGGACCCGGATCTGGACCTGGACCTGGACTTTCGACTCATCCTGCTACCTGGGCTCTGCCTGGTGCTTCGACAACTTGTGGTGTCTTGCTAACGTTGAATAGAATCTTTTTCAATCAACCTCCCACCCTCCACCGGCCGGTCCTCTTTTCCCCTTGTTTTTTATTGTCGTCCTCCATAATTTCTCTTCGTCGCGCATCACATCACTACCCTGTCTTCGTCGTTATACATCAGTTATCCCAAGCCCTTCCTTAGCACCTGCACCCTAAGCATGACTTGCACCTCTTCGTGGTGCTTAGGACTAGTAGCCTCTATGGCGAAGCTAAGCAAGTCACTCTTCTTTTTCTTTTCTTTTCTTTTCGTTCCTTCTTTTATCGGCTTGACATGGATAACTACTCCATGTTTTGTTTCTTTTCTTCTTCCTTTTGACTAGCTACCGGTTGAAAACCTTGCTGCGTATTGCTTTTACACATGGATTCTCCATGCTCGTTGCCTGTCCCCCTCCCCCTCCCCTCCCCCTGCCCCTGCCCCCCTAAGCAAGACTTGTACCTCTTCGTGGTGCTTAGGACTAGTAGCCTTTATGGCGAAGCCAAGCAAGTCGCTCTTTTTTTCTTTCCTTTTCTTCTCTTTCTCTCTTCTTAATATGAATTAATCATGTCCCCCGCATTTTCTTTGCTTGCAGTCTGCCACGCAGATTCAATAAGCTAATTTACATGGACTCTCCATGCTCGTGGTTTGTTACCCCCCCTGCCCCCCCTAAGCAAGACTTGCACCTCTTCGCGGTGCTTAGGACTAGTAGCCTTCATGGTGAAGCCAAGCAAGTCAATTTGTCCAGATTAGCTTAGACTGCAGTAATTCTTGTAGATAGTCAATATCAACGTCTTCTCTTGACTTTGCTGTGTTCATGGTGTCATGAAGTGGCCGCCAAGTCCTCGTAGCATCTCATCCCAGCCACGATTGGCTGCCCTGGCTCCACCGCGTTGCTTGCTCCAACACTAAAATTAACCTCAACCATCCGCGATGCTTCAAGTGAGTCGTGACCATCGTTGGAACGTCGCCGGCGAGTCCGGGTGTTTCGACGCGACATTGCCAGCGGCTGTTTGAATTTGACGTCTTCTTCGCACTGGCAAACCCTTAGCAAGGCTCTACCTACGCCTTGTCCTTGACTTAGGCGATTCCATTGACGCGACTACCTATCTGTTCTCTCTGCTCCGTACGATGGCTCGAAAAAGCAACTTTGACGGTAAATCTCTTCTAAGCCAGGTTGGAGGGCGGAGCACCAAAAAACGAGTAACGGACCTGCTCCTAGCTGAAGATGACATCTCAGATGCTCCCTCCAGTGCGGGTAGCGCTTCACCACCTAAGAAGAGGAAGACATCAAGGCCAGAGCCTGCTACGGATGATGATCCGATTAGCTCCTCAGAAGAGGATACGCAAGCAAGCTGCTTGAAAACCGTTTCAGAGCCCAGAAGACGAGCTCGAGCTCAGTCTACCTACGATTTTGAGGCCAATTTTGCCCTCATTGACGCTGAAGCTACGGCAAAGCCTCTTGAAAAAGCGGCATTTACGAAACCAAACCAAAAGCAGACGAGGAGAGCGACGAGATCGAACACCATCACTCGTGAAGTTGATGGGCAGAAGACGTCGAACACGTTTTCATCGAATAACCCTGGACTCGATACATTTTCAGTGCATTTTTCACGTACAAAGAAAGGAAATGGGAGGAGGTACGGGAAGAGCTTTTCCAAAAACACACAACCCTCTCCAAAAACGGATGAGGTGAAGTTTATTATACCTCCGGAACCACTGGATGAGTCGTCTTTATCGGCTTCTGATGAGCCCCAGTTCAAGGTCCCAATTACGATTGACAACCTTCCTGGCTCTCCAATACCCACTAATTCATCCCGTGATATTGTTGAAACTCTCGTATTTGATACAGGCGTTGATAGTCGTGAATCCTCCCCGTTAAGCTCCGCACCTTCAGAGCTGGACGTACCCGCAGACGAGAAGAGATGGTTGCCAGAGGAGTTTATTTGTTGCCCGGCCTGCCGTGAACGACTTGATCCGGAATATCTCGCCGAACACCAGCTTGAAAATACCAAGGGCCTTAGTATTAGAAAACAGCTACAATTTTGTAGGCAGCATAAGCGATGGTCAGCTGAACGTGATTGGAATGTTCGAGGATATCCAGATATTGACTGGAATGGCTTGGACGAACGTCTGGAGCGTTATTTTGACGACCTAGAGCAAATATTAATGCGCAAAAAGCCTTCTTTCTTCCGTAATTCCTTGGAGTCTTCAAGTGGTGGAAGCAGTAAAAAAAATACCTTCCGCCTTACTGCGAACAGCAACTTTGATTCAATGTCCTCCGGATACTATGGCCCACGTGGCTCGAAAAGGATGTACGTCCCTTTTCAGTTCAGCCAGTCGCTGGAGCGGCTTGTAGATTCCCTTCTGACTACGTGAACTAATATTATTTAAGGGCCGACGCAATTATCTCCAAGTTTGCTTCCAAAATACGGCGTATCGCGTCATCAGATCCTCTAATTCAAGCAGCCGGCGTATCTGGCTACATCCAAACTGTCTTAGTACCTGAACTCACCGTAATGCTCGTTAAAGACGACATTAGTGGGGACGACGAGAATGCGCGTCAAATTATACGGGAGAGTATGGTGATTGGGGCCCTTGTAAATGAAGAACAGGACGATATCGTTGAGATTCACGATGAGGGTAACACTCAATTCTGAATTCGATTGACATGCTGGTTTAACAGACATCGGGATTTTTGGGCCAATTTTCCCCAGCCGGGGTATTGGATGGGACGGCGTTTGACTGGTATTGTAGATATGAATCACTATAGTAGCCCTCGCCATACTTATTATACTTGGGAGCTGAAAAGGTTTCTATTATACTACGAGCGGCGCTTTGAGATGAGATGTCGCGACACTAAGGGATTCCAGTAACTATTTATACAACTTTCATTCCATCCTTCAAATGTGGTTCTCAAGATTAAGCCCTCTTTGCTCTGTATGCCATAGCAAAGACGAAAAAGCCATACGTCGCCAGTACACTTAATCCAACTGGAACTGGCTTTCGCAGCCTGATAGCTCTGGGAATTGCACTCCCGCCTAATATTGTGGAGGCCAAAAGTCCTATTTCTTGTCCGTAGGACTGATTGGTGTTGAGCCGGTAGTAACTGGCGGCGTAAAGCGCTCCCACAGAGACACCTGCTACGATAGAGGGAATGGAGCCTGTTCGGGCATACCCGATTATGCCGCCGAGACTGGTGAGGGCAGAGAGCACGGCAGCGGAATAGGTAGGATTTTGGGTGGACTAAGAGGCGTTCAGCATGATCGCCCGTTTAAATGTAGAGAAGCTATTCAGTACCATTGTGCTTGTGATAGATAGAGTGGGCTGATATCGTCGGATCTTAGGATGGATAGAGTAGAGGGGTAAAGGGTATAAGAGCCTGTGTCGTTCGACTCTGAGAGTTAAATTCAAAGATGCAACTGCACCGAACGTGGGTTTCAACTCTCGGAGCTGGATATGGCCTGGAGCCGTTGTGGAGAGCAAAAGCAATGGCAGTCGGCGCTCGTGCTGTTTACGTTTGATTACATCATCACGCGGAATTGAGTTGCGGCTCGGAGTTAACTGCGGGTCTTGGCGCCAACGTGACTGACGCGGAGAGTTATGTAATATCTGTTCGTTTCGCGCTGGCAGATCCCAAGAGCCAGCAGACACTGAGTTGGAACAAGATCTCTTGACTCTGGAAGGGCTGCTGTTTTCTTTGCTGTATCTCTTTGCTCTGGTCAATTTCTATTTCTAGGAAATGGCCCCGAAACGCCCCGTCAATGGCTCTTCAACAGCCTCCTCCGCCAAACCAGCTCCTAGCTCAACTGTGTCTCCGGCCGCGCCGCCCCCATCGACCACACCCATTGCCATAACGGCCAATTCGTCGCCTCAAGAAATTATACTAGGAGTATGGCAGAGATATTTCTCCCAGACAAGTCAGAGGACAAAGATACTAGATGCGTTTATGGCATTTCTCGTCGCTGTTGGAGTCGTGCAGTTCGTATACTGTGTGTTGGCTGGCAACTACGTACGCCCACTTTTTACTGTCTACCCAAAATAAACAATCAGTTCTAGGAGTACATATAGCTAACATTGGATCTTTGCATAGCCATTTAATGCTTTCCTGAGCGGTTTCTCGGCGGCCGTGGGTCAATTTGTTCTTACAGCGAGCTTAAGGATGCAAACTAGTGCCCAGAATGCTAAAAGGGCTCCCAAAGGTCAAGCAACAGCAAAGGATGATCAATCTTTGACAAGTGGAGTGTCTCCTGAACGGTTGGTTAAATATACCTGTTCTTTCTCCGGAATCACCTGAATATTATACCTAACCGTTTTACATAGTGCGTTTGCAGATTATATCTTTGGAAGTGTAATACTCCACTTCTTCTGTATCAATTTTATAAACTAAGAGCTCTACCGGCGATTACCCATCCCTTATTCTATGGCTTACGTCAACGATTTCCACTCATGTCTTCGCTAGTCAGCAATATCAGCCGGTCATTATCGACAGAATGGCAGTGTATATTTCGGATTTGATCCAACCTTGTTGGGAGGACCTGCATTCCGGAGGCAATTACTCTATATTTGTAATTATGTTGGACTGGAAAACGGAAGGGCAGGAACCAGGCAAAATTCTACATCTCGGCATTCGTTCCGTAACGGTTTGAGGGATCAATACATAGAATAATGTATCCAACGATATTGAATTGGATCCTATGTATTCATCACAAAATGCACATAGCACATTCAAAATCCTCTGCTAAATCTCTTAATTGGAGGTCGCTTGACAACGCTGCTACCTGTTTTTGCCGCTGTTGTAGCGGGTTTTCTCGCAGCTGACACCATTCCTACAGTAGCAGAGCCCCCTGATCCTTCCTGCCTTCTTTTTAATTTCTCCTTCTCTTCCTCCTGAAGCGCGAGCTGCGCCGCCCGCTCGCGGTCCGCCGCCATCTGCGTTTCGATCTCCATGCGTCTATTAAATTCACGCTCTGTAACGCGTCGCTCCCGAGCAGAGTACCCTTTTTCTTTAATGGAATAGAAAACGCCACCTAGGTCAGCGAGCCACTAGGAACTGTTAGTAACCTAATCGTATGGGACAGTAGGCTGATGACTCACTCGAGGATCAACAGAAGTCACACAAGACATGTACTCCTTGCTCGTCAAAATCAACTCATGATAGACAACATAGTCCGGTAAAAATCCAAGCCCATACAAAGCACTTGTTGGGTGAAGTTGCACTGTAACACTAGTACGCAGATTGATATATTCACCAATGCCTTTGACCCTGGCAGCCTGGTGGTAATATCCAGAGCAAATGCATTTTCGGATGACGTCCCAGTCAGTGCCACAACTCATAAGGGCCATTTTCTGCATAGACATGATGTCATGCAGTTGCTCTCGAATCTCCTTCGCTCGTCGAAGCGCTTTGGGATGGAGAAAGTGACGTACACACCACCCATCGGAGTACCCATTTGACTTCCATTGAGAATAGACGTGAAGTAGAGTAAGATGGTCGGATTCAGGTACAAAGAACTTCTCGCGGGCGGCATCGGACTCTTCTTGGCGTTCCTTTGGTCGATAAAATACACTAGGTACCGATAACATAGACACTATTGTAAGCATTTCTTCGCTGCATTCATATTCCTCGGACGCAGTGATAAGCAATTTTGCTAAAGAAGGATCCATCGGAAATGCACTCATACGGCGGCCCATGGGCGTGAGATCGCCAAGGTTGTCGATAGCTCCTAATGCCCATAGATCAAATAGAGACGTGGTGATTGTGTCCTGCGGAGGTGGGTCCATAAAATCGAAATCAAGTAAATCCTTTACTCCCAAGGACTTGAGGAGAAGGACTGTATTCGCGAGGTTGGTGCGTTGAATTTCAGGAATCGTTTGTATATAGAATTCGTTTTTGAAGGCAAGCTCCGTGTAAAGGTGATATGCTTTGCCAGGTCCGGTTCGACCAGCACGGCCAGCACGTTGGGATGCGTTAGCTTGAGATATCGGCGTAATTTGCAAGGTGTCCATGCCCATACGTGGATTGTACACCTTCAGCTTCGAGAAACCACAGTCGACAACGTACATAATACCATCAACTGTCAAACTAGTCTCAGCAATATTCGTAGCCACGATCACTTTTCTGACTCCTGGAGGGGCTTTGTCAAAGATTTTGGCCTGAAGATCGGCGGGCATTTGACTGTAAATGGGCAGGACACTTATTTTTGGTGGATCGTTTAAAAGTGCAAGCCTCTCATGGATCAGATCGCAGGTAGCCTCGATATCCTCTTGTCCGGTCATGAACACCAAGATATCTCCAGCGCCTTGGGAAACATGTATGGCAAGGACCTGCTTTACAGCACTGTCGACATAGTCTTCGCATGGCGACCGAGAATATTGAATATCAACTGGAAATGTTCTTCCAGGAATAAAAAATTCAGGTGCACCTCCATAAAATTTAGAGAACCGTTCCGCGTTCATTGTCGCGGAGGTCACAATAAGCTTCAAGTCTCGACGGCGAGCAAGGACCTTTTTAATTAGTCCCATCAATACGTCGGTATTCAACGCTCGCTCGTGCGCCTCATCCATTATAATGCATGAGTACTTATCTAGATCAGGCTGTACCAAAGACTCTCTCAAGAGAACGCCATCAGTCATATCTAACACAGGTAGTTAGCTTTAGAGTATCACACAAATATGAAGCTGTCTCACATTTTATTGCCGTCTCACTGCTCGTGCAGTCTTCAAAACGGATGGCATAACCAACTAAGCCGCCCAGCTTAACCTCCATTTCCTCGCTCACTCGTTTCGCGACACTCATTGCAGCAACACGACGGGGTTGAGTACACCCAATCATGCCCACTTTTGCATAGCCATCTTCGTGTAAAAATTGGGTCAATTGTGTAGTCTTTCCAGAACCGGTCTGGCCAACGACTATCACAACCTGGTTGTCTCTGATCACACGCAGCAATTCTTCCCTGACGGCAAAGGCTGGTAGATATTCTCTCTGCTCCCTCAGTGTTTTACTCTTACTGAAAGCGCTCACGCCTTCATTTTTTTTTAAATGCTGGGCAAATTTGCTACCGCCTTTATGGTCCTCTTCACCGGGAATTGCCGCCGCACTATCGCCTTCGTCTTCCTTGATCCCCATAAGATTACCCAGCGCCGTTCCGGCAACGTTCGTAGCATCTTGCGCTTGCTTCTGCCGTTCTCGTAATTGTCTCTTTTCCCTCACAACCTTGCTTCCCTTCCGACTGAAGACAGCCATATCGCTCTGAGGGTCTCGAACCGCCGGCACAGGTTCCAGCTGCTTCGTAAAAACCGTCCTCCCATCTAAAAATGGCGGCTTCAAGTCATGCACCAGTAAATGCACCCGAGTTGAGTCCTCATCATCTTCAAAGTCCGCCTCGTAGTCTCTTCTTTGCGCGACACCGGATGTCAGCATCCGGTTTGTTTCCCAGGCATCCACATCTTTCTGCTTCTGCACCGCACGCGCATTGAAGCGGCGATTGTTTTTCTTTTCAGACAAGGCAGCTTCCCGCTGCATATCCGCCCATGAGCTATCCGCTCCGCCAAACGGATTGTGCGTCTCGTCCCCAAACGTATGTCCAAGCTCATCGCCAGCGTACCAGTCCCGATCTAAAGCCACAACGTCTTCGTTATTAACAAGGGGTTCCGGGCCGTCGAATTCATGCTGGCGAGGTGTTGCGGCACCATTCTTGAGATCTCCTGGCCCAGGTGTTTCGCTGTTCTCTATTCGATAACGTTTATAAATGTGTCTCGGGGCAGGGTTGGGGATCGGGGAGGGGGATGCATATCGGTCCGAGTCGAGTTTGCGCCGTTTAGGGCTGTGATCGCGGACCATTCTGGCTAAAAAATTTCCAGAGGTGGAGATTACACCCGTTTTTCCCTCGTTATTCCTGGCGCTATACGGAGTACGCAGTATGTCTCCAGCTTTATGTGATGTAAAGTCGATTTAAACTTCATTACATAATCAGTAGCTAGTTATCAACGCTAAAGTTTGTACGGATTATGACGTTGTTGTGCGAGCTTTCCCGCGGAAGTATCCTTGATGCATTTTTATAGTTAAAAGGTTTAGTGAACGGAGTGGACGTTATCCTAGGCGTATTTGAGCTCTATAAGACAGTCTTACATAATGAAACAATCAATTAACTAGATAGGGCCCGACTGAGTGTCAGTTGGTCCTTTCTATAGGGAGAAAATAATATCTGTATGGAAAAACCTATACTGTTAAGAAGTCTACCGTATTCCATATAGAGGTAAGCAATTTCCATCTCCCTGAGCCCCTTACCGCTTCCGATCTTAAGCCAACTCTGGCCTCTTCTCATTTCCCAATACATATTGAAACGCCCCAACACGGCAGTAAAGGACATAACCGGCGAGACAACACTAGAAAAAGGGATAAAAGAAAGTGAAAAGAAGCACCCATAGCTCTGAGCATGCCAAATCTATAACCCGATATTGTCCATGATCAACTCTCCCCTCTTAATCCCCCCACCCCCCCACCAAAATCAAACATGTCGGCATCTCTTGTCTTGCACGGGGAACAGGCAGGTGCCATATGCTAGTTCTCTGCTTATGTGTCACCAGCCAACGCAGCCTGGAGCCCGGAAGTGTCTTCGCCAATGCTAGTAGGTCTCGCCACCGGCACCATTGTGCGTCGCGCCTACCATCGACGGATATGCGTATGTCGCGTTTTCTTGATCGCTCGGATCCAGATTCGCATTCAGAAGGTTGTTCTCTGGTGGAACTGCGTAGCCGGATGCGGACGCGGTTGGCCCACCAAGGGCACCGGTGCCTGCGGGGCCAGCGCCACCGACGGGTCCACCCTGAGGATATTCGCTGCTCGAGGGCCGGTTTTGGTTCTCCGCCCTTGAGGATTGGGTCTCAAACCAATCAATTCAATTGTTCAGATAGTTCGTCTTGAAAATTCGAGACGACATATGAAATTCAAGCGAGCAAAGAAAGGGGACAGTACGTTAGAATACTTACTTCGCGATATTTGGACAAGTAGATTTTCAGGGCTTCTGCGTAGTTCTCGAAGCCAAGGGACGTCATGGCAAAGAGGATATCCTCGCCATTGACGGTCTTGCGCTTTTCTCCCTGACATTTCTCCGAGGCTATGAACGAGTATTATTATACGTCGGGCGACAAAGTGATGAAGCGAGAATGTATACCTTCGCTGGTGATGAAAGATATGAACTCGCTCACACACTCCTGCATGCACTCCTTTGCCTCTTTTGCAATCTTGGCATTCTCTGGGAGTGCAGTTTTCATAATACGGGCAACTAGCAGTGGAAGTCAAGCATTAGCTGTCAGCACACATGATACAGTGCTCGATCATGGTAGATGATGATGCAGGGTGGCGGTGAGGAGACATGGTAGGAACGAACGTCGTCAAGCGTCAATGATTGAACAAGAAGTTGAAGGGGTAGGGAAAATAGCAGCAAGCAGCGTGATGGACGAATGAAATAATTTAGATGGAGTTGGTTGGCACGGCGGAAGAAAAATCGTCAAATAGGCAGAGGTAAAGTCAACGTATAGGAAGCAAGGCATGCGAGTCTCCGATCGAATGAAGCGGCGTCAAAGAAAAGCATCTCTCGAGAACGAACCATTTGCAATCGGCAGCCATCGATCCTGCTCTTTCACCTCGAATTCACCCTGGGTTTGTGGCTGCGCGTCCTGATGTTCTCTTTCCATGTGCTCCGGGTCGTCGCCTGACTGTGTTCCTGGTTCCACCTCAGGTTCCTTGGGATTCGAAGGAGAGGCCGACGACATGATTTTTACGTCTTTTTCGGATACGCTGAGGCTAAGAAAAGTAAATTCAGCGAGCAATCACAGGGTGGGCTCTGCGTTAGCCCCGGTGTACACGTCACTCGTGCTGTCGAATCCAACGCCGGTCTTGTTTCCGACCAGCCCAAATAATGCAAGATGGCGTCAGGGTGGGAAGGGCGTTGGACTGGATGCTTATTCGCTTCACGGCCGCCTTGGTTGAGCCCAAGAACAAGGTTCCTGTGGCCAGAGAAACATGTCAGTCGCGGGCACCGTGTGTGCCTTGGGACAGGGTGTGGAGGAAAACGAGCCAGTTCCTGCACGCGGGCCTGGGGGTGGACGCACTCTATCCTAGCCAGCGAGTAACTCTTGGTCGACTGCTGGAAATACCCGGGCAGCTGCAATTGGCTGTCGCGACGAGGGCTCGAGAGGGTTGGGCGGCGATTGGGTCTAAGCTGACCGCAAGTTGGGCAGAGGGACGGAAAGAAAGTCTCGCAACGTTGCGCAACGGGCCGCGGTGATTTGCTGGGATCGCTTAGAGGCCAGCAGAGACAAAAAAAAAGGTCAAATCAGAAACAGAACACGCCAACGTACAGGCGTCCAGCTCAGGATCCAAGCGCGGGAGCGTGTTGAGCTGGGGGGTTGTGTGGGCGGCGCCGCCAAATGCTGTGTAGCAAGGCTCCCGGAACGCGATCGGGGCAAAAAGCGACGAGGTTCGCGGCGCGTCGTACGAGCAGCAGCGGGCTGAAAGACTATCGAGCCGGCAGACGCGATGTGGAAAAGCAGCGGCAGTGTGGTTCTTTCTTCTCGTCGTCGTCGTCGTCGTCGCAGACCAGCGACTCTCGAGGCTACGCAGGATCGATGGGGACGACCGGTATTGTCGTACTGTACCTGCGTCTGCGTGACGGGCGCGTGACGGGCCCGGTCGCGGTGCTTGGCCGCAGCACAGTGCCGCGCCGGCGAAACAATACCTGTTCCGATACGCAGAATTACGCGTATGGGCGGGCGAGAGCTTGGAGCCGCCCGGGGCAGCGCGCTCCAGCCGGGCGGGCGGGCGAGCTGGGCTGAGCTGGGCGAGTCTACGCCCGATCCTCTCCCCCCGCTCCCATTGGGCTGCGCGTCGCAGCTCCCTGGTGGTTGTTATTGGCCCACGCGCGGTACCTGGCTGCGCTGCGCTGCCCTGCCCTCGATGTCAGTAACTATATCAGGAACTACTTTCCGCGGAGCATGCCCCAGTGCCTAAGGCATCCTCGAGTACGCTAGCCCCCTGGACGCCCGGCTGTTTGCTCTATTCGCGTCGTTGGCTCAACACGAGCTGTGCAGCACGTTCCAATCACAGCCCCATTTCGCTGCCAGCGTGACACACGGCGCGCGCGCGCTCTTTTTGGCCGGGAGGCGAAGTGACCGGCTGGTTTGGGCATCGACTGTCGCTCGTGGTTCCTACGTCGCTTGTTTCAACTGCGGGCGTTCGCCAGCTCAGTCTCCGCAGCGCCTCGCCTGGATGAGAATTCCTCGTCCGAGATTATCATTCATTGCAGCCCCTTTTGTGTCCTATCTGTCGCGTCTATGTCACCAGTACTGCGTACAAGCCTGGGCGACGCCCGCAAGAAATCCCCCGATGTATGTACCATTCCCTTCTCAAAATACATGCGCACTATTCCTTATTTTAGCAGCGTGTGCCGCCAGCGTAGCACCCTCCTTTCTCTTCCATGCCAGCTGTCAGGCACAGATGCAGAAGATAGTCTCATTCATTTTTTTCCCTTTGCCCCCGCAAAGACCACTCGGGCACACAAGGGCCTACAAAAAAGAGGAAATCAAACACGTCTTCACTCTGGCGTCCAGTATCACAAGGGAGGAACGTTCGGAACGAAAAACTGCCCCAGATGGTGTTGATTCACCTTAAGAGGATGAAAAACGAGGCGAAAGGTGATAGGGAACGAAACCGATATCCCGGGCCCGGCATGTGCGAACGAACGTTCTCCCTCTTCGGATCATTTTCCCGCTCAAGTAGGACTTCGCCAGTAGGACACGGTAATTCCTCAGCTTCCGTCCTCTACCTCATTGTTGAACGACTTGTATGTTGTTCTTTTTCTGTAGAACCACCAAAAAGATTTATCAGCACAGCCCATAGGTAGAACACTTCCGATAGTAGCGGGGTACCCCCCTCATCAAAGAAAAAAAATAAAATAAATGGAAAAAATTGAAAGGGTTACAGAAAGGCCCCAGCACTTACCTTCCAGTTGTCCATTTCATCCTGTTTGGACTTATATTGTTTGAGGAGCTCGTCGAGCACCTGTTTCAGCCCGTCTGAGTTGGTTTTCAGCGCGGGAATCACGTCCTTCACCGTGCGCTCAACCAGGACCCCGTTTATCATGCGGAAGCATTTTCGATCACCCGATAGGGGCTCGAGAGTTTCGACCACAAGTCTATATATAGCCCGTAGCTAGTTAGTTAATTTTCATTCTCGATGCTTCAGGATTGTGGGGTAGAAGGGAAGCTTGAAAGAGGCGCAGGAAACCTGAGACGCAAAGCAAGGTCCCAAAGATCATACGCACTTGTGCTCCTCTGTCTCCTGCTCTATATCGCCAATCTTCTGCGCCAGCTGCTGCAGCGTATTCTTGTAGGTGGAGTACTGGGCTTGGAGCTCTGTGAAGGGAGGTCAGCACAACATCAAACCGCAGTCGCAAGAAGTGCGCTGGAAGGGGGGTTTGCTGTGTAGTTTTGGTCGGATATTTGAGTAAGCGTACCCTGCTGTTTTTTTGAGTTGACTTGTGGGGTTGCCATTTTCTCTGGTGGGACGGTTCTGTTGGAAAATGGCGAGGGTGTGTGAGGCTTGAACTCTTGAGACGTTGGAAGCGATTGAGTTTAACGGCCAACCACAAGCTATATTTTTGACTTCATAGGGGTGGACGAATCGACACAAGTACGGAGTATACAGATGAGCTACATGTAATTGGGTTTAGACAATATTATCAAGGCAATGCATGATGCAATTGATCCCTAGAATTATCGAAGCCGACTTAAGCTATTTTGCTTAGAATAAACTGTTCTATCGCTAGAAAAGGTCCACAACTATAACAACAGAAACGGGTCTAGTATCGGTGCACCATACAATTCAGAATCAGCTCTAAAAAAAAGAAAAGACAAAAAAAAATCGTAAAGTCATTTCAGTATTTGATAATAGAAGAAAGCAGTTTCGGATTCGAAACATAGAAGTGCCGTACATGGAAAGGGTATATTAATTAATAACACCTTAACGGGTAGCGAGTATAACGGACGTTGCAACGGAGCCAACTCCACCGTTGAGAACGCCTTTCACAATCGAATGTGGCCTCATAAGTCAGGAGGCGACGAGGGGATGAGAAATTATTGGCTCTGCCCGCAACAAGATTAGAACCCCATTCCAGTGGGAAAACAAATAAAATGCTAAATGCACGGGGTACGTTACCGATCAGAAACCCCAACTGAGCCCTCATTCCAAAGGGGGTTTGTTATACAGGGTTAGGTGTTAAAACCAGCATTTGGTCAGTCTTGTTTTACCAAAGATATTGCGAAGCACAAAGGATATTTGAAACGCGAAAATAAACTATCCAAATGTAACGAGACGATCGCTAGTAACTTTTTCAGAGGCCACCGTGTGGCTTTTTCCCAAGATATTTCCCAAGACTTTTCCCAAGAACTTAAGACGCTTATTAGTTATCCCGGTAGCCAAGTAGTATCCTGGAAGTAGTCTGCCATCCCGGGTTCGTGTAAATAGAGTTCTCGCCATTCGTCCTCCATGTCTGTTAGGTTCTCCGGTATGAACGGCCCGCAAGGTTCTGAGTCAACAATAGAAAATAGCTGCCTCCAATCTCCGGGTTCTCCAAGTTGTTCTGGTTGCTCAGGGCCATCGACGACAGGACCGGAAGGATTGGCAAAGGCATTTAAGCGATCGTTCAAGTGGCCGCCTTTCGAATACCAACTCTGTAGTACTTGGGGAGGCGCTGGGTCTATCGGTGGTGGTGGTGGAGGAGGAGGAGGCGGGTGACTGTGTCCTTTCACAACGACTTCACCTTCCTTTGGCACTGTAGTCGGCTGCTTCAGCTTAACCATCTCCATATCGTGCTTCAACCGTTTGGAGCTCTCAAACAATCGCAGGATGGTTTCTGCGCCAAGCCAGTAGCTAGATAGTGCCCGTAGTGAACATAATGTTGAGTCAAATCGTCGCAGGGCATTGATTGCCAGCACTGGGTTGGAGAACTGCAACTCCACCCTAATTTGGATCATTGCAGTGAACAAGGAATTCACGGCTGACACCCACAGGTATTTGATGCGGTCCTTCTCCCGTAGTTCTTCAAAAATCGAAACAATAACGCTTGCTGCAGCGCTACAGATTTCAGCATCATTGGGACCATAATCGTCCGAATACGCCGATGCTCGTGGATGGGGACGGTGGAGAAGAATTAGGAAATTATTATAGGTGAGGTGAAGGAGTGCAGGCCATGCATCCACATCGGTAGAAGACATGCGAACGTTATCAGGTAGCTTAAGCGACCAATTTGCAAGCGCTTTATCAGCTTCCATTAGTGCAGCCTTGCGGCGTTCAGGAGTGACCCGTAGGCCAAAGCGCTCTCTCATGATGAACGAAATCATACAACAAAGTTCGGTATATCGTATAACATATTCAGTTTGTACATTCTCTCCGCAGCCCTCAAAGTCGGCCGGCGTTAGAGGTTGGACATCGCAATCTTCAAGGTTTCTAATCCATTTTGTTAGTCGAGTTCTCCGTGTTTTGGTGATGTATCAAATTTCCCTTACATTGCTTGCGGGCGACCATATTGCAGTGAGACCAACACATCGAATTGAACTAGAATCCACCAAGCTCGACGCCACATCCGCATGTCATGCGGGACCAGCATACTAGGTCTGGCGTTGCGATGCATTCCCAGACCGGTGGCTATCCTCGCTGCGACACCAACCCAAAAATGAGCGTTGGCGGCAACATCGTCATCGACGGGGTCGGAGTACCAGGTAAGGAGAAGAGCGGCCTGCACTAGAATGTCTCTGTTCCGCTCTACTCGAGCTTCAAAGAGCATTTTCGCACGGCGAAAGAAGGCCGACTTCACCGAGTCACGGACCGGCCGCGGACGGGTCACGTGTGCTCCGGCCAGCAGAACAGCTTGCAATATTAGTAGGGAGGGTGGGTCGGAAGGGTCGCGGCGCTTATATTGGGCCATAAACGACTCCTCGTCAATTATTGGGCACCCAGGGTTGACATGGGCGAAATATGCGTCCACAAGCGCATCAGCCAAGGCTGGCTCTGGAAGCACGAAAGCCTCCCTAGGCACGTGTTCGAAACCATTTTGGAGGTATCTTCTCGAGATCTCGTTGGTTGCAAAGTGGTATACCTCGTCTTCTCGATCAGTAGTGTGCTGCTGACGTAGAAGAAAGTTCAGATTAGACACATCTTGGCCAACGTAGATCACCCTGACATTCTTCTTGATGGAACGTTGGCGCAGATCCTCATCAATGAGTTTCACAAGGTGACGGTCCGATTCTCGATTGTCTTCATCGTCAATGTAGATATCCGCGCCCTCTTGCTTTGTAGGTATTCGTGCAGTCTCGAATGCATCTGATCTGTAACCGTGGCTGTTGCCTAGGGGGGAGGTGCTGGTGGAAGCGCTAGTGTTGGATTTGGGCGGCGCGGCGGGGATGATCGAGGGATTGGTTTGGATCGGAGTTCTGTCGAGGACGGGGGCGCAGCGGATGGGGACGGGGTGTTGTAAGGATCGTACGGCAGCGCGTTTCTTCTTCTCGTGGATTCTGCAGTCGTGTTTTCCGGCAGTGCGGCAGTTGGAGCAGGGTAAACCAACGGTGCGAGCATCGCAGCGCACCTTACGTTGGTGGCAGTGGACACACGCGGCAGGACCTGTCAGGGAGAAGAGAGACTATCAGCTTTGCGAAAGCCAAAGACGTCGTCGGGGGCGACGAAGGGCGAATATAAAAAGACGTTTTTTTTTTGGGCGGAGTGGATTGGCTGAGGGACCAACGTTTGCGTTTGATGACTCCACCGTCGGTCGACAGGCGCGAGTTCTCCTCCGGGGATGACATTATGAGACGCGGTGGGCAGGCGGGGCGGCGGCGGACAGTGCAAAGGAGAGGGCAGACAGACAACGGCAGCCATGAGTGTCGCCGCAGCAGAGCCAATAAGTCGCAGAGCGTGCGAGGGCGTTGCGGGTGCGTGCGGGCGGGCGAGAAGAAGAAGAGAAGACGGGGGGTCACGGGACTGCAGATAAGATCGTGCGCTAGGCTCGGTGGGGGCTAGCGCGGCTGGGCACAGAGAGGGGCCGCGCGGCGATTGGTTGGCGGGTGAAGTTGCTCACACGCCGATCGGATCGGCTACTGGCTGGCCGATCGTCGCCCCTCAGCCAACCAGCGCGCCGGCTGCGCGACGTGGGCGGGGGGAGGGGCGCGCGCAGGCATCTAGAACGGGAATGTGACCCGTCACCGCTCGCTTGTCTCAGGCTTGAAACATCCTGCGTCCGCGCTGCCCACGTGAGCTGCGCGGCTCTCCGCTGCCCGTGGGCGAGCTCTGCCGGTGGAGCCCTGTAGCGTGTGCGAGCCGTGCCGAGCCACTCGCGCAGCACGACATGCAGCCTGTTACTTAACAGAAACTGGCCTGCCGTTGCACTTGATACACGCCCTGGTCGCCGCGCGGGCCTGGCTCGGGGCTGCAGAGCCCAGCCCGCAGTCCAGAGGGCCGGTGCGCAACCAACCCACCAGCCGGCGGACTCAACACCATCACGCAATACCACACTCTATGTTGGTAGTTCGTCTCCATGGGTATCCCCATGCCGTATAGGAGACCGGAGTAGCGACACCTGCCAGCGCTTCGCGGCTTCGCGGAGTCCGGAGTCCAGCACGCCCGGAATCCAGAACGCCCGGAATTAACGCCGCGGCGGCTCCCCACCCCGCCCGCACCTGACTCGCCATGACTAAGCCTGATCATAGGGCGGAGCGTGGGCTCCTCCACCCTGCGCGCCGCCGGCTTCTGCCTGCACTATTAAACGGCAGATCCCGCTCCTGCTTCCTGCCTGCCAACCCCCTTATCTGCTCTGCCTGTACATTGTCGCTGTCCCCGTGATATCTAGTATGTCTCCCCATGCTGCCCCAGACGCTGCGACCGCCGCTGCCAAGGTCGATGTCAATGGCACTGCAGTACCACAGCCCTTGACCGTTAGCGGAGTCCCCGCCCGCAGGGCCAAAACCACCCTGCCTGCAGGCGTGGCGGCATACGCTGACAGTGATATGTTCAAGAGTTCGGTATCGTATCTCGTGCGTCTTTTCGGACGAGTTGCACTGACTAGTAACCGCTCCCCAGGCCTGTTACACCAAGCCAAAGGCTCGACGATGGGATGGTACGTAAACCCGACTTCCCCGAAACGGCCGCCAAATTAACTAGTGGGGAACTTCAGATTATATCTCTACCGAAAGCAAGTCGCGAATGGTATGTGCTTCCAACCCTGATGACGAGTCGAGGCGAGCTGACCCCTGGCCGGAAATCCAGGCATCTTCCTTGAAACAAGCTGCTCATTACCTTAAACAGCCTGGTAAGTTCCACTAAACTACACGTGTTCTTGTGCCTGGACTCTCCTCTAACCTGGTTTAGGATTGATATCCCTTGGGGGAGGTCTCCCCTCTTCTGACTACTTTCCTTTCGATGAGATCTCTATCAAAGTTCCCGTTGCGCCTCACTTCTCAGAGAAGGAAACGCATGAGTCTGGGCAAATCATCACTGCCGGGAAGTATGACATTCAAGAAGGCAAAAGCGATTTTGGTTCGTTCAGCACTAGAAATTCTCCTGACATGGGCGCATGGTATACTAACCGCTCATTCTAGATTTGGAGATCTGTTTGAACTATGGACAATCAGTCGGAGCCGCGCAGATGTTGCGTTTCGTCACGGAACACACGGAGGTGGGTATATTGCTTTTGGTAAGAATGTTTTGTCTGACACCCAACAGATCGTCCACAACCCCCCGTATTCTGACTGGCAATGCTCGCTTTCCGCTGGTAATACCGCTTCGTGGGACATGGTGCTACGTATGTTCTGTGAGCGTGGCGACTATATCTTAACCGAAGAGTACTCATTTTCCAGTGCCCTGGAAACAGCGCTGCCTCAAGGACTTCGCCTCGCCCCAGTTAAAATGGACGAGCAAGGCATCCTCCCCTCTGCTCTCGAAGAAATTCTGAGCAATTGGGATGTTTCTTCACGAGGCGCCCGGAAGCCGTTTGTACTTTATACCGTTCCATCCGGTCAAAATCCAACCGGCGCTACCCAAAGTGCTGAACGTAGAAAGGAGGTGTATAAGATTGCGCAAAAACATAACATCATTATTGTTGAAGATGAGCCATACTACTTCCTTCAAATGCAGCCATATAAGGGCGCAAATGCACCACAGGATCCAGCTCCGGCCAATCACACCGAATTTTTAAAGGCTTTGATTCCATCTTTCTTAAGCATGGATGTTGATGGACGGGTTGTGCGGCTTGAGTCATTCTCCAAAGTCTTGTCCCCTGGTTCTCGTGTTGGGTGGGTCGTCGCGTCCGCGCAGATTATCGAGCGCTTCCTGCGAAATGCAGAGACGTGCACGCAAAACCCAAGTGGAATGGCCCAGATCATTCTCTTCAAGCTTCTCGACGAAGCTTGGGGCCATGAGAAATACTTGGAGTGGCTGATCTTTCTCCGAATGGAGTATACTGCTCGAAGAAACGTCATGCTGGAGGCCTGCGAGAGTTTCTTACCAACAAGCATCGCAAGTTGGACGGCGCCGGCAGCAGGCATGTTTGTAAGTTCGTCCTTTTGGACGCCTCACGGCTCTTTTTTTTCGCTTTAATTTTGTGATGTGTGACTAAACGACTACGTAGCACTGGATTAAAATCGATTGGACAAGACACCCGCTTGCTCGTGCTGGCAAGTCCTACGATATTGTCGAAGAGGCTATCTTCAAGGCAGCTGTTGATCAAGGAGTGCTGGTCTCACGTGGCAGCTGGTTTGCCGCAGATCATTCTAAGCCACCTATCGATATGTTCTTCAGGGCGACCTTTGCTGCTGCCCCTGCGGATAAGATTCAGCAAGCCATCAAGCGTTTCGGGGAGACCCTGACAGCACAATTTGAACTCTAAAAACTGGTACAGTATTTGTGAACGGTGTGTATTATTTTTGGTGCATACGGTTTTAAATTTCCTGTCAGAACAGCTGTTAGATAGCTAGTAGTATAGAACGCCATCTATTAGGAGATTTCAAGATGATTACTCCGTTCTAATAAAAAGTCCATTTTTTCACGGCAGTTTCATGGCCCATCTTTAGCAAAGCCCTCGATTCTAAAATTATTAATTAGTTTTCATAGTAGATCCCATGGTTATTGAAGATTCATTATATGTAATAATAATGTGCAGTCATTCTAACCGATTCCACAAATAAAGGTCAATGCACCTCTTTTAAATCGTTACTACATGCATGTAAGTATTCAGGCATTTACTTTCCGGATGTAACTACCTCATGGAGTATAGTTGCTTGCTAAAAGCATACTCCGTAGACAAGCACTGAACGCTATGGCCCATCAATTCTAGGTCTGCTCAGAATTTTTGTTGGGTGATCAAAACAACTTTTAGCTGGACTCGGACTCGGGTATTTTGCTCACAGGGTTATTTAACCGAACTCCTGCAGTTCGTATTATCGGGAACGCTTAACCATATACCTAAAATAACGTAGCCAATGGCGTTCAAAGCCGAAAAATCAGCGGGTAAATTAATACACAGATTCTTATATTCTTTATATCGGTAAGTGGCTATTTTTTTTTTTTTTTTTGGCCGTGTGACCAAAAAGAAAGGCAAAACCTCACGTACTCGGATCCTGGTGGAATAGCGTCTAGAATCTCAATTGGCATCGAAAAACTGCTACCACACTGACATCTCCTCGGAAATGCACCATTTGGTGGGGATTACTATACGTTAAGCCCACAATACTGATTATTGAAGACTATGTTCGGCTACCCCTTCATTTCGCACAGGTTCGGCTGACTCAAGGTTAATCAAATAAATACAAGGTTCTCTATTAATTAAGAGTGCCATGCTTCACTTCCCTGTAATAACACCAAAGGCCGATCATAAAATGATGCATGGATGCTAAATTAAGCTGGTCAAGCTGCAAGATGCTATTAGAGGCTGAGAATTGGAGCCTATCATAACTTCAACATAACATCGAATATCACTCATACTCATCTCATGTTATTCCTATTATCAAATCTTGCGGCCGGGTTGCCTTGACCCCCATAAAGTGGCATTTTTACGCAAGGAATCAACATAGCACCCTCTGAAATGCGGAGTATCCTGGGTCAAATAGCCGTCAAGGTCACTTGGTCTAAAGCCATAAACTTAATAATTGTGGGGCGGTACGGAGTACGGAGTATAATTATTCCATATCCATAAGAAAAGCTTTTAGGCGCTAAAATTGCGGTGTGATAATCTGTATTGGTATTTCAAGGGTCTTAAAAGGAATCATATGGAGTTCGGAGTACGAAGTAGTTGCCTCATTTTTGCAGTGGAATTTACTTTACTAGGTACTCCGTACCTAGTTGTATACTTCGCGCGCTTGAGGGGCGCGTCCTGTTTGCGTTGTTTGATAGACAACTTTCGGATGACTCAGCAATACTCCCGAAAAGGAAATTTGAACATCCTTATCAATCGCAAAATCTCAACAGCATAGGAAACGCCCAAATTTTATATACTTGATAGGAGTATATGGCGTCTGTCTGTGCACTTGCTATCTACTAATCCCTTTTGTTTACTTTACTCCAAAAACTCGACACATTTAAATCCCTTTTTACCATTTGGAATCTGAGCTGAGCTCGAGACTACCTCTTCTGCAAAAAGGTGAGCGTAGGAGAGCTTTGCTTCTCGCCTAGTGCATTGTGCTAGCCTTTCTATTTAATCTTCTACGATCATTTTTTTAGGACCGATTGATAGCCCAATGCGCTATCAATATATATACATAGAGTCGTATCTCATGCACCCCAACCTGAATTGCATTCTGTTTAGCTGCCTAAAGCACATACTCCTATAAAATACCCAATATATATAATTTGTGGTCACATATTTTGATATTGGCGTTACCGTGGTTTATTTACTGCCCAGGCCTATGCCTTTCTCATTGTAGTTGAGCAGGTCTCAAAAGATACCCAAGATTGATGGAAGGATTTTGAAGCGATTTTGTCCCTAAAACTTCATATCGCAGTCTATAGACCCCTTTTCTACCACTTATTTGCTGATATCTTTCCGCCTGCTAGTTTTCAGTTGCGATACGGAGTTCAGCAAACGACTACCTACTCCTTGCTGTAACCAATTGTGGGCCAAAAGTGTTTTTATATTGCTTCCTTGAAGCCGCGTTGTTCAGACACCCCACCGCTGTCCTTAATCTGACTTGCGCTGGCAACGACAGAAGCTCCGCCTGCAACCCAGTATCTGAGGAGGTTCCCGACCAATCTGACCATCATCCCTCACGTGCTGAACATCCGTTCACCTACTGGCTGGCCTTTCATTGTTTACTTTAGCGCCTTCCCTTCAGCACAAAGTTCGCGCTAAGGGCTACGCCATGCCCAATCTGTTCACCACGTGAGCTGTCAGGGAGCTCTCCGCCGGATGAGCTCCATGCTGGACTATCGCGAGGTTCATCCCTTTGTTTCGAGGGGCTTTGCAAGCCGATTGATCTTGGGGCCCACAAGCGCTTATCTTATATGGAATTGGAGCGCTTGAATAGGGCGCTCGTCATAGCATCTTGCAAGATATATCTGGCAGCCCCTAACCACATAGTGGTTCCGCAATCCGGTTTGCAGTAAATGTCGAGAAAACAGAACTGTTTATCTTGAGATATTCATCCTTTTTTATACCCAACTGTCCAAATCGAGCAGCTCCATTTGACTTTTTAAGGTGACACGTAAGTTAACTGCCCTTCTCGCTACCTGCTCCTCGCACAAATGTCTTCGTCTCTCTTCCTCCCTCCTTGTTTTTTTTCCATTGGCTTTTCCCGCACGAATCGGCATTTGCTCTTCTATTCTGTAAACGAAGTTACAAGAATATATCTTCTGTGCCATCATATTGTTCTTACCACGACTCTGCTACCTTCCTGTGATTTAAATTATTTTCGGCCTTTCTTGAGCGCACACTGCCTTTAACCTTTATTGCTGTTGCTATGGATTCTTACCGTGGAGTTGTTCGGCGTGCCGCAGTTGCTCGGTTTGCCATACTTGTTCGTAGGCCTTTAGACTGATTGCTAATCTCCACCTGCTTTTATAGATCTCGCCCGGCACCTAGTTGCGAAGCATCCAGTAGCCGTGAGCCAACCTTATATTATTGATACCTTCTTGTTTTCTAATGGAAATTAACTTGTGTGATACCCAGGCATTAAAGAAAACGTTTCTCCTTCTCAAGCTGAATATCCAGCCGAGGAGTATCACCCTTTTTACTTTGAATCTCCGGCTCAGGGACGTTCTTCCAAGAATACTGGCGCAGAACGTCTTTTCCAATCTTATGGTAAGCGTGTTGTATATTTGGCCCCTTTGATGCTTCTTTTTTTTCTTGGTAAAACTTAGTGCTGATACTCTTTAAAGAAGACACTCGGATTCCTTTTCGAGACACTGTCAATTCAACTAGAGCGTTTGACCACCCCCGCCTAGACTTCTACCAGGGGAATCCGAGAGCCCAGCTTGGACATCTTTACTTTCCCGAGGATCATTTCGCTCCGGTAGGCCACGAGGTATTTGATTCCTCTGAAAAAGGTAAAGCGCCCCTTCGAGGATCTGCTGCTACCTCTCGCCAAGCTCCTTATCATCTCGAACACGAAGTATCACGACCACCCCAATTCCCCGTAAAACTTGGAGCTCAATTTGACGAGGAAGACGGCTTTCCTCGGCAATCAGATCCAGCACCTTACCACTATAGCCCATCTCGTTATTCCGAGTCTGGATCTGTTGCTGCTGGCCATTTTGAATCTCGCTCCTGGGAAAACAGTTTTCCTAAAGACCTACCCCAGCAGGCATCTTCATACCCGCAACCTAAACGTGGCTGCACTCCTAAGGGCCCTTCAACTCCTGTTGCACCAAAAAAGCAAACTACTGGGTTTCCCCAGCCGCATCAATTCAATACCCTTAGCAATCGGGCACAGTTTGATCCCCTAAACTTTTTCCCCAGTGTTGCCAAACCTCACGGCAGTCTTGAGCTTCCTAGCTGTGCTCCTATTGTTCGTCGTGTTACAGAGCCTGTCGTAAAAGGTGCCCCCGATACTCCTCAAATTATTGTTGAACCTCCAACTGGCAGTAAGCGAGTAGCTACTGAACCTTCGGTCGCAACAAGTAAGGAAACAAGCCGTAAGGAGGCTCAAAATCTCTCCACACCTTTCGACGACCCAGTTTCTCAGACTCCTACCCCCAAGTCTCGAAAGAAGAGTATCCATCGCCTTGCCGAGTCTTTCAAGCATCTTTTTAATTCTCGTTCTAAAACCGACTCTGACGTTTCATTCAAACATTCGAGAACCAAGTCTAGCTCTAAAAAGCGCAGGCCGAGTCTCTCAAGTCGACTTTTCCGACGACCCTCCCAGCAAACCCTCATAAATTACGATTTGGTAACGCAGTCGAAGGTTCCACCATTGCCTAAAATGGATCATTCGAGATTTCTCGATCCGTCCTCGGCCATGATGGCTCTGACGAAGCAAAAGTCTGAAGCCATGCGCCTTGCCCGTGAACAATCTGCAGCCGTGGTCGAAATGTGTCGACGAGCAAAGACCGATGTGCCACAATATTCTTTTGAGGAATTAATCGGCAAGGGCTCGTATGGTAGAGTATACAAAGGGTAAGTGATAATATAAACTTTTATCATGGTATCAATTGCCCATATACTAATATTCTCAACAGACGCCAACTGTCTTCTCAAAAATTTGTGGCAATCAAGGTAATGGATATCGACAAACTTGATTATCAAGCCATCAGAGACATGAGGGATGAATCAATTAAAGATTTCATCCATGAGACAAAGGTCTTGCAACAAGTCAAGGATGCTGGAGCTAAAAATATCAACATGTTCATTGAAGCAGTCTCCATTCACTCACAATTGTGGCTCATTTGTGAGTATTGTCCGGGTGGTAGTGTGAAGACTCTGGTACGTGCCTTCTTTGTATTTTGCTTTTGATCCTTATCATAAGATGCAGCCTCTCAAGACAAAAGTCGTGATACTGTCACTTTTTCCCCCTTGTTTCAGCATATATAATTTATAACATGTTGAATTTTTAAAGTGTGTTCTGATATTGACAATATGTTATAGATGCGAGCAACTGGTGACAAATTGGAAGAGAAATTTATTATACCCATTGCTAGAGAACTTGCTGAGGGTCTAAAAGCCATTCATGATGCTGGAATTATTCACCGTGATGTTAAAGGTATGTAGTATTTTGTTATGCTCTGAAGGTGTGAAAGAAACAAAGGATGAAAAACACCTTTCTCAGTCGTCAACTTTAATCATCACTGGTGTGATGAAAGTGGATGTAGACTTGGATTATTTATATTGGGGTGGTATAAAATTTGTTTTAAACAGTGACAGCAAAACGCTAATATTTTTTTTGTTTCTTACAGCTGCAAACATCCTTATTCATGAAGAGGGGAGGTTGCAAATCTGTGACTTTGGAGTTGCAGGAGTTTTACAAACAAAGCTTGATAAACGATCAACTTGGATAGGTACTCCGCACTGGATGCCACCCGAAATGTTTCCCAACAGAGTTGCAGAGCCACATCAATACGGGAGCGAGGTGACTTAGCTATAAGTTCTAGTTGGTAGTACAAAAAATAGCTAATTACGAAGTAGGTTGACGTATGGGCTTATGGGTGCACTTTATTCGAATGTGCCACGGGAAATCCACCCAACGCAACCTTGCGTGAACGAATGCAAATTGGTCGTCAACTTAACCGTTTTGCCCCGAAACTGGAGGGTGATGCCTATTCTGACCGATTACGATCACTAGTATCTTACTCTCTCGCTCCGGATCCAAGAACAAGACCTACCATGAAAGAAATCCTAAAACACGAATATATTATGGATTCTAGTGAAGCATACCCAACAAATATTCTCAGTGAACTGGTTCGGATATACTACCAATGGTCACAACGGGGTGGCCAACGAGTTTCCTTGTTTAATCCCGGAGGTGCAGCAGCAGCTGAAATGCCACTTCCGATGGGCACTTTAGGAAATGAAGAATGGAATTTTAGCACGACTGCTGGCTTTGAGAAGCGTTATTCAATTATTGACTTAGACGAACTTTCTGCCTCTTTGGCTGCTCTCGATGAGGATCTTACTCCAACTGGCGCGCCACGTACAATGGGGCAAGGGGCAGAAATGACTTTCATGGAAAAAGCAAATTTTGATGAACGTGTGAAAAGAGGAGCTGCAGCCATGGAAGGACTCTTTGACGAAGCCAAGCCGGATTATAAATACGAGACTAAGAACGACTTCGTGCCTATGCAACAGATGCAACGCCGGTCCTCAGACCTTCCTCTTCGAACAGATACAGATCGGTCATCTGTCACGTCTACATTTATCGATATAAACCTTGGAGACTATGAATCATCTCATTATGCTGCTGGCTCCGCCTCAAACAATCCCCCATTTCAGCTTGCTGATCCTGATACTATTCGAGCAAACCGCTCCAGTGCACGACTTATTCGCAACTCATCAAGTTCCAGTACTACTTCTCAGGAATTCCAACCTCGAGGCCCTCGACCTCCTACTATGGATTGGACTTTTGACACAGCTGGTCAAATGACCGACGAACCTGACATCATGACACAAGACGACCTTCATGAAGAACCTCCGCCTGAAGAAGAAACTTTTAAGTCTGACAAACGTGAGACCATGGCCTGGACATTTCCAGTTATGACCACAAATGAGGGTGCACCTGGGGACGAAGCTCTGGCTGAAGATGGGCCCGGCGAGAGCGAAGAGGAAGACCCAAATAGGACCGAACCCGGCTACACTTGGAGGCCTGATTTAGATGGCACCGTTAGGGCCGCTGACCGACCCTTCTCCACCCTTCAGCCGCCGCCTTTTGAAAATGGCCCTACCAGCCAAATTGACGCCCAACCTGAATCCCGTCCTACGACAGCCCTATCGATGCGGTCGGAAACGGATCAAGACCCATTCAGGTTTGATGGAACAACGACAGTGCCAAATCCAAATACACCCCCAGAAGAGCGGCCAGATCCAACCGACCAATTTCCCGCTATGCCTCCGTCAAGCTTATATGAAGATTACGACGCTTCCACACTTGCGAGCTCGTTCAACGAGTATCAAGACACAAATTGGAGCCAAGGCGTGACTTTGAGAAACGGGAGCTCCACGGAACCAAGGCGCCAGTCGGTGGTATCATCGCTGTACGCAGCGGATGTCAATAAGGGGCAGCCCGTTCCCGAGGTAGACAAGCCATCGTCTCTCTATTTCCCAGAACCTATGCCTCCTAGCTCCGAATGCCTAGCTGACGGAGCTAGCGAGGATATGGTTTCTGCGGAATTAGACCGCCTGCTGGGGGACTTCGTCCAAGGGTTGGCATCCACACGAGAGGCACTTGCTGCTACTGATAATTGAAGGGTGTCTAGGGGCGGAAAAGAGGGCTCTTGAGGCCGTTATGGTTGTGCTTTTACTGTCTTTCCACTGTTTTGTTTTAGTCCTTGACAAGGCGCATTTTCATATTTGGAGTTATGAGCCTATTTCTTAGTATTAGCATTTGCTCCGGAAATATTTATATCTATCACTTTCCACGTGCTATTACATTTCCGTACTCCGTACACTGATACTTCTGACATAAAACCATTGAAATATGTAGATAGTGTACATGCCTTTGACTTTGCTACGCCTCATAACCTGGCCATAGCCTTTTTCCATCACTGAAACCAAAGAAATGACTATAACCACTCCATATGGGCGGTTACAACCACAACCCGTTGTTCGAGCGCTAAGGGTTAATGTTGAACTAGCCCAATCAATCATGAGCTTTCAGCTAGACGCCGCGATGAATGTAACTTCCTAAGTGCTCCATGCAGAGAACTAGCAAGCCGTTGATGTTGGCTTTTCTCCAGTCCACAGCGGGGCGTCACAATAGAGCCGAGCTTGGGCCAGCTCGTGATCTGCAATTTCGTTTACCTTGGCCCGATCTTATATCCCATACAGGATTGGATTGGATTAGCACTTAGAGCCCCCCGTCGAAATAGCTACCTCATACGATGCCAACCTAGGTCACAGAGTAGGATAGGAAACATACACTCTTTCTATACCGAGTGCATTCAAATAATTATAACAGAACCTAAGTTATTAACTGCTAGTGCCATTCTGATCCCCATATAACCTTTTTACCAGTGAACAGCCTTCTATTGACACTCTTCTCCCAATTGGCTATGATACAGAGCCAGCTGCGCCAGTTTATACGATCTTCTGTCATGCGCTCAAAAAATCGTTTCAAAGGATTCTGGTCCCGACAATGGTCTCAAAAAAGTATCCCTTTATTCAAGGAGAGCCTGAATGGAACTTGTGGGTATTTTTAAGTGTATGTCTCATAGATAGCTGCTAACACCTGACTTTTAGACGAACCGATCGTGGAAGAGGATTTGTTCAGATATATTCGACACCGATGGTTGTATGGTCTTACTTTCCTTGGATAAGCTAATGGTAATATGTTTACCTGGATGTTAGATTCAATGAACAAAATGAACTAGCGCGTCGCTATTTGCGATTTAACGTTGAAAAACTTGCCGAAATTGCCCTTGGAGCTGCCGGGAATGGAGCTCGCGCCTGTATGCCACCATAACATGTTTTGAATGGCATATGGCCTCGTGATACTGACATGTGGCTAGGTGTAAAGGTTGTAAAATGCGTTGAAGGCCTGCATAATAAAGCGCTGATTCTCACAATGGACAATGGATGCGAAGTCTTTGCCAAACTTCCAAATCCAAATGCTGGTCCCGCTCACTACAACACTGCTTCCGAAGTTGCAACCAGGCAATTTGTAAGATGTATAATGCTTTTAGTCCTGATTATTCGCTCTCTTATATGTATCTCTAGCTTCGGGATGTAGCCAAAATACCAGTTCCCCGTGTGCTTGCATGGTCATCTGATCCACGGAACCCAGCTGAGGCTGAATATATCATTGAAGAAAAAGCGCAAGGAGTCAGGCTTGGGAGCTTATGGCCTCAGTGGCCTCGAAAATCAAAAGTTGAAGTTATTAAACAAATAGCGGACATGGACCAAGTGCTTTGTTCCTTCGAATTTCGCAAGCATGGGTCCATTTATTTCAAGAAAGATTTGCCCGCCTCAGACTTTACGCAACATGAAAATGTGCTTATCAATTCGTCACAACCACCGGATATTACTGACTGTTTTGGACTGGGCCCGGTTACTTCTGCCGGACTTTGGAAAAGTGGACGCGCGGACATGGATTTAGATAGAGGGCCTTGTATGCTCCCCTGTCCTTACTTCTGATGTAGTCATGAACTAAGAGCTGGACTACTCAAGGGCTCAATTCTTCCGAGTACGCCTACGCAATGGCAAAGAATGAGATGAAATGGATACTTGCCCACGCAAGGCCGCGAATGAATTACTGTCGATCAATGAAACAACCCGAGGTTCCTGAGGATGCAATTTCACTACTTTCCAAGTACAATGAGGCTGTGCCTTACTTGACCCCGCGAGAAAATGAAGGAAAGATGAATGTACTCTGGCACCCTGACTTGCACCTAGACAATATTTTTGTCGACCCAACATCACATAAAATCACTTGCATTATTGACTGGCAGGGTGCTACTGTGGCTCCATTATTCTATCATTCATGTATTCCAAGAATGGTCAGACATGACGGAACCGTGAGAGAAGGCTGGATCGTTCCCACTCGACCTGATAATTTTGACACGCTTAGCGAAGATGAAAAGAAGAAAGTTAACGCAGACCTTGAAAACGAGACACTGCACAAATTCTATGAGGCCATGGTCAACAAACGAGCACCACGCCATTGGGCTGCTTTAGAGCAGCTAGAAGCCATCAAACTAAAGCGAAATCCAACCTTGCTGATTACCGGCCTATGGGAAAATCGGAATTTATTCTACCTCCGCCACAGTTTGTACACTGTGGCAGCTCTCTGGAATCAAATTGAGCCGGATGACAATATTGAGTGCCCTATTGAGTTTACAGAGGAGGATGGAGAGCGACATTTGAAAGAAGATGAGAATATAACTGATGTTGGCAAAATGCTTTGTTTGTTTCGGGATGAGAGGGCCCTTCCAGAGGATGGTATGGTTACCCCTGAAGACTTTGAGCTGGCAATGAAGAACTGTGAGAAATTCAAGGAAATATTCTTGAATTTAGCCACCAGCAAGGATGAGAGGGAGCTCTTCTCTAAGCTGTGGCCCTATCAGGAGCTGGAGGCTTAGCATCCAAGTGGTACTATAGTCAAAAGGGAACGGGTGCTCAATATCTAACCCTCCACGAGGCACTTCCCCTAGTTGCTTCCTCTGCTTGTTTGTTTTCACAAGGTGGTTTTCGGGGCTACGCAGTCACGTGTTGCCGCTAAACTGGTCTCTTGTGATTGGTTATCTTTTATTAAGACAGTTCGCGCTCCCTATTGGCTACTTAGCCTGATTATGAAAGCGATCATACCCTAACAGATCATTCCGGACTTCACATCGCCATTCATATACCACTTTTGCTTGCTAGGAGCACTTAACAGCTATTAGCCAGAGCAAACAAACCCAGCCTATATTGGTAGTGAGCCTATCCTAAATCATCTGATAATTGCATGACTGCAGTTTCACATCTCTTTTAAAAATGCAAATCTAGTAAAAGGCTCTCGGAATAACCGTTTTTTTGAATATCCATCGGATTTGATCTCCTTTAGAGAAGAATAAAAATTCTTTGAAAACCCGATATTAGAGCTAATTGTCAAGGCCAGCTGAACCTAGGCAAACAGAGTGATAGTTGTTTTATTGACTGCCAATTGTGCATTCGTCCTAGAGGAGATGAGGGAGTTCTTGTGAATGCCCAAGAACTATATTTTGGAGGCATTTCCTTATGTTTGTGTTTCTCAAATTTTCATGATTTCTGTTTTCCAACTGCTGTTGGTAGAGGAGCTAGCTGTGAGGGAACATGGCTAATTCCATTTGCGTCACACGCTCACACGCGTATTGACACGTACTTTTGTTGGTATCTGGTTCTCACATCTTTCTTGTGAGAACTTATACTATTATCCAAATTTTCTTCTTACAATCATGGCCTATTAACTGCCTGGCTGTCTCAGTAACATCATGCCTCTCTCCCCATACAGGCAAAGCAATACTGCCTTGCGTCTTTCTAGGCCCTCAGAGCAAAGGAAACTCGGTCTTCAAGAAGTTAAAATTCTTCTCTCTCAACGTCGATACAAGCAATGCGCTGCCCTTTCTCTTGAGTTGAGGCAGACCCTGGAGGGAAATGTGCGTGTAATATACCTATCAGATGAGAATAAAAGAAATATTGATGAAATTACGCATGATAGCTACATGAAATACACAAATCATATCTTCACTACTACGGAGCTGCTTCTTATGAGACGATGGGCCGTGCTGCGCATAAGTACTCAAGCAACAAACTGCCATTGCTGAAACTAGCTAGGGACGGCTATGTATCGTGCAAAACGTCACTTGAAGGGGCATTGAAAGACTTGAATGTTAAACATATCACTGATATGTGTGAAAGTGAGGATACGAGCGATGGAATACCCTTTTTCGAAGCAGAAGTAGAAAACTTACGATCAGTGTCTGATCATTTATGTCCCGAGACCCCAAAACGCACCTTTTCTGTTTTTGATTTAACTGAACCATGGCGTACGTATGCACGTCTCAAGAATGAAAGTACCAATAACAATATCAAGGTTGATATGGACGAGAATGAGAAAGCGGCATTCAAACTTGTTCTTAAGCCGCCGAGAATGGATAATATTCGGGCAATTGAACTTTGCTCTGAATCTTCAACTGACGACCTGATGCCCCCTCCTTTGCATATCCGGAAAACTCGAGAGAAGGCACGGGGTCTCCCCAAAATTTCGATTCCCGATCGATCATTGCTTCCGCTTCCTCTTTTTTCTCCTCCTTTATCTCCTCCAATGGCAGGTGATCCGAAACCCCCTTCTCGTGCTCCAAACCCAGGTCCAAGTACACCAAGAAAATTTCAAAGTCGGATCCCCATCCCAATCGATGCTATCGAGCTCACACCTACCAAAACTAAACGGCACAGCCCACAGGTTACTGAAAACAAAGTAACAATCCAACCATCTATATGCATGCTTAGCATTCTCTCCTCCCTCCCTTCCCAGCTCGAAACAAACATAAACAATATTGATATTCTCATTTCTCAAGCAACGGAAATCCAACACGTCCATAAAGCCACCAAGAGCAATCGACTTGCCTCATTTTGGAGCTTTGACTTCAAATCAAACGAAGCACAGCCTGGTTGCTATAATGATGGGACTCGAGTTATTTCAAACGGGATGGAAACTAGACAGGAACGGATTCTTCGATTGCGATCGGAAGGGTGGAACACGGTCGGTATTAAGAACCCCGAAAGAGGCTGGAAGGGATCGGAATACTATGAGAGAATCTGCGCAGAGGCATTATCGGAGCTATATGGCAACTAGAATGGCTGAACAGCGTAGAGATGGTGCACGTGCAGAGATACAATAACATTGAATAAGTTGGTAAATTTTGAAAGCCTCAGAAACGTAGTAACCTCATATATCCCATTACCCGCATATTTCAAACAGAAAATATTCCGGGTGGAAGGGTAATATGTGTCAACAGCTAGATATAAAAGTTGGAACTAAAACAAATTGGGAAAATCAACCGATATCAAACAAATCCAATAAATTTCCAATAATAAAAGACTTCAAATACAGGTAGGAAGGAGGCAAGAAATCTTGATCCAAGTACCACACTCCTAAACCTTTTTTCGCAAGTCGCAAGGGTATCAGTTCATATACCAGAAACGCCAAAAGCTCCTATTTTTGCTTTTCCTTCTCAACCCTTTCCAATGTTTCCCTCTCGACCTTTTCGTGCTGTTCTTGATTCTTGGCCTCGCGGACCTTTGCAAGGACGACTTCCCGGAAGATTGCACTCTTCGCGGCTTTGCTGAGGCTGCGCAATTTGCCTGATGGTGGAGCTGCAGTGCTGGATGGTTTAGGAGAGGTTGAGTCCGCTGGAGCAGTCTTGGACGCGGCGTCAGCATCCTGAGGAACTGCGCTTGGGATGTCCTCATCATCTTCTTCCTGCATTTTGAGTGCTTCGATACGGTTTGCCAACTTGACAATCTCGATGCCCCGCTTTAGACGAGCCTTAGCCATGTATGCCTTGAGCTCTGGCAACAGATTGTGATCTGTGGCGGTCTCTCCCTTAAGCCAGCGGTGCTCGAGTGCTTCCGTGCTTGTTGCTCGCTTCGTAGGATCCGGCTGGAGAAGGGCCAAAATAAACTCTTTAGCATCTTTGGAAACATCCCTCCAATATCGCTCATGGAAGACGACATTTCCGTTTCGACACTCATCAATTAAGTCCTGGAGGTTCTCAGAACGGAACGGAGAGTAACCGCAAAGCAGTGTATAAGTAATGACACCAAGGGACCACATGTCAACCGCCTTTCCGTGGCCTTGCTTCAACATGACTTCTGGGGCAGCATAGCCGAATGATCCTGCCATGGTGGTAAGGACATCAGTCGCGCTATCAAGCATTTTGGCAATACCAAAATCCGCTAGCACTAGCTGTGAGTCCTGAGAGCGGGTGAGGTAGAGCAGATTTTCTGGTTTCAAATCTATCCAGAGTTTAGCGACATCATGAAATGACCTTTGGTCCAAATAGAGACTCACCGCGGTGGACAACGTTCCGCTCATGCAAATAATCCACAGCACCTAGCACTTGCAAGATCGTCTGAGAAGCGTCCTTTTCGGTAAATTTTCCATATTCACAAATTCTGTCAAATAATTCTCCTCCAGTAGCAAGCTGCGTCACAATATAATATTTATCCTAGGAAAGTCAGCATTCAAAATTCATAGCCTCATAGGAATAGCTGACGTACCCTCGATTCGAACCAATCATGGAATTGAACAATGTGAGGGTGGTGCAGGCGTTGCAGCATGTCCAACTCATCATAGACCATCTGTTCGTTACCCCTCACATTTTTCTTGAGTATGATCTTGATCGCGACTTTGCCGTTCGGGCCATCTGCTTCACGAACGATTCCATATGTCCCCGCACCCAGAGTCCTCCCAAATTTGTACTGCACCCTGAGGCCGGTAAGCGATGAAACCTCCATAGGATTCAGAAAACAGATAATTCGTACTTCTTATCGTAGCTGTCTGGCTGGCCTTGCAGCTTGTTAAACATCGTTACAACTGGGAGGAGTAGATTTTAAATGTCAGCCTTGTGAGCCATCAAGCTTCCGTGTGACTTCAGAAGTGCCAATAGGTTCAGAGCGCGGGGCGCCCATACGCACATGCGGACGGGGATTGGACGTTTCGAACAGGGGTTAAAAGAAGCGTGCAAGGGTGTGGAAAGAGATAAGGGGAACGTAAATGGGCGATAGAGGACGGCGCAAGAAGGACTCGACTTACAACTCATGGTGATCGATGTCTGTCAGAGACGTTCTTCGAGGATAGGCAATATAATAAAGTGAAGTGAAAAAGGCAGCTGGCTCGCGTGTTGGGCTGCTGATCGGGGACTAACGAGACAGGAGAATGCCGTAGGGTGAAAGAACAGGTACCAAATGTGTACTCAGCGGAATGCGATTGGGAAAAGGCCCGAAGAAAAGAATGCCAGCTTTGGGTTGGAGTATTGTTAGCTGTGTGGAGTGAGCAACCAGTGCGCAAGGTCGCAAATACGGAGAAGACAGAGAGGGAACCCCGCAGTAAACTCGCGGATTCTAGACTCGCAAAGCAGAGTGGCAGATAGGCACATATAACTACTTACGGGGGTCAGGGGGTGCAGGAAGCGTATTGCTTCCTCAAGCTACAGAGGAAGGGATACCGCTGGCGACTTGAGGTTGGTGAAGAGGAGAGGCGAGGCCGAGCAGGAGGCGGACGCGGGGCCTAAAGAGTACTTGCGACGGCAGCGAAGTTGGGTGGGGTCCAAAGTACCACGGCCATCCTGGCTCAGCCTCAAATCCTCCTGAACTCTAACTCTTGCTACGCAGCGCCAGGCCGGCGACACAACAAAAGCCCAAAATGCGGGAGGCGGGGAACAGCACTGCTCGGTGGGCCTGGCTCCGAGGCGCACGCTGTTCTGTGCAAGCAGCTTCACCGCGCGCTGCCCGTGCGTGGGATGCTATATCTGCTCCCAGTATACCACAGACGGCACCCGTACCCCATAACTAGGTAGTGAGTGTACTCCGTACCCCGTATCTACGCAGTCTCGTGTTGCTCTGACACCGCCGGCCCATTCAGCAACGGCTTTGTGGCTGTGGCAATCTAGACCAGGAGCTCCCCAGCCCGCCGTCATTGGTGGCTACCAATCACCTAACACTGTCCCAATCTCGCTCTGACGTTGGCGATGGCGCTGGAGCTCTGTTCGCAACACCCATGCTGCCACCTATTTCACACGGGCATCTGGCACGCATCGTGGATCTCCAAATGCAGCTCGTCTGGGCTCTGCTCAGCCATGGGCTGATATCGCCCGCGTCAAAACTTACTTCCTGTGGCTAGTGCTGTGCCGTAGCCGTATTGGGCCTAGCGCACCCAAGCCTGTCTTCTCAGCCACAGAGCCAAGCCCGCGTCATCTTCTTCCCGTGATAAACATGCTGCCCTGCGCAAAGATCGCTGGATGAACCTGCAACCCGAGAGCTCTCGTTTCTGCCTCACTTCGCTTCGCAATGCGCCACAGTTGATCCTTCCCCCTGGAACATCTGCTCCTATTCTTAGAGCAACCAGCCCGCACTTCTTCTTGTTTCAATACCCCCGGACCATTTAGTTCGTGCCCGGCAATCCCACGGCTTGCTTTGTGGCCATCATGTTTGCAAGTAAGCGCTTAGGAAAGGTATACGACGTGGATCCGTCCTATTGAACCGCGGCTAACAAGGATGCAGGAGCTGCTCAAGGTATCATTGCCAACCTGCAGTTCAGCCTAATCATCGTTTATCTATCAATACTGTTCCCTAACGCAATCCTCCGCTCTGCAGATGCAATCCTCTCTCCCCCCTGGAATAACAATAGTCAATGCGGACAACTTCTCCGAATGGCAAATGGACCTTCAAGTCTTGGATTCTAACCCTATGTATCGAAATGAAACCTATCGACTGAAGTTCACATTCTCTAAAGGCTATCCAATAGGTACGGCCCGCCCTCATTGTAGCCCCTTCCCAAGGCGCCATATTTATCCTTTTCGTCAATACAGAAGCCCCCGAAGTCGTTTTCATTAACCTTCCCCCTACCTCTCCGACTCCACGCCCTATCCCAATGCACCCTCACGTCTACAGCAACGGGATCATATGCCTTGACCTACTTGGTTCTGCAGGTTGGTCGCCCGTTCAGACCGTGGAAAGCGTGTGTGTGAGCATTCAGAGTATACTCACAGGCAACACAAAGAATGAACGGCCACCTGATGACGGGGTGTTTGGCCAACAAGCTGTTCCAAGACCGCGGGATATTTCATTCCGTTATCATGATAATGATGTTTGATCTCATCTGGCTAAGCCACAAAGTGCAGATTCAGCCCACAGGATACCCCTGCCATATTTTTACATGTAAGTTTTTGAATGCCAAAAACACCCTAGATTTAGATGATTTTCATATGCTCCAGTATTATGGTGAGCCATGAAGAGTATATTTTCTGTTCATATTACTTCAGTGTGCCAACTAGTTTTGCTACTACTGGAAACTTCTTCCGACTTGGCATATGTATGTACGGAGTACCATGTCCATAAATGAGCGGTGGCTGGATTTTCAGCTTCCATTTTAACATACCGATGAAGAATGAACCCCAGGAGATCTAGAAAACAAAAGAAATCAAAGGATGAGCATATATTGTAACATCTTGAGGGTACAGTAAGGTAGTCGTTGTAGGAAACTTAAGGTGCTTTCTTGCGCATGTGTTCGCACCGGGTGCTTCATTGAAAAGAAAGGGGTATGTACTGAAAGTTTCAACTTAGCAACATTTCGGCGTAATGGGGTCGGACTATCTGTCAACCTCTCCGAACACAAGATCCATGGTACCTAAAAGATCATGAATTAGCATATTTAGCAGAGAGATATTTTGATTGTTATGGGCTTACCGATGATCGCGACGGCGTCGGCAAGAAGGTGTCCTCGAGAAATTTGGTCAAAACAACCAAGATGAGCGAACCCTGGAGCGCGAATCTTGCATCTGTATGGCCTTTCGCTGCCATCGCTGACAAGATACACACCCATCTCTCCCTTTGGAGCTTCGATTGCGGAATATGTCTCTCCAGGTGGAACAGTGTAACCCTTGGTAAAAAGTAAGAAGTGATGAATTAAAGCCTCCATGTTCTCTTTCATAGCTGCACGGGGGGGCGGGTTTATCTTGTAGTCTTCCACTCTAACCGGGCCGGCTGGCATTTTGTTTAGACATTGGAGGATAATGCGAAGCGATTGACGGAATTCTTCCATTCGGCACAAATAACGGTCGTAGCAGTCGCCATTTACTCCAACTGGAACGTCAAACTCAACCTGGTCGTATGCATCATATGGTTGAGACTTGCGAATATCCCACGGAACACCAGACCCTCGAAGCATGACACCCGTGAACCCGAAATTGAGGGCATCAGCTGCAGAAACAACACCAATCCCTTGTGTTCTGGCTTTCCAGATTCGGTTGTCTGTGAGCAGTTCTTCCGTCTCATCGATACGATCGCCAAATTGAGTTGCCCATTGGTAAATATCGTCAAGAAGGCCGAGTGGAATATCTTGATGAACGCCTCCAGGTCGAACATAAGCCGCGTGCAGACGAGCACCTGAAACCCGTTCGTAAAATTCCTACAGGGCAAAAGATAAAAGCGTTAGCATTGACTAAGTGACGCAGGGGAGATAGGCGCCAAACCATCAGCTTTTCACGCTCCTCAAAGCCCCACAAAAATGGAGTCAAAGCACCCACGTCCATTGCGTGTGACAAGACAGACATTAGGTGGTTAAGAATTCTGGTGATTTCACCAAACAACGTTCTAATCCATTTTGCTCTCTCCGGGATTTCTATATTCAGCAACTTTTCTACCGCTAACGAATAGCATTGTTCATTTGTCATCATGGAAACGTAGTCCAAACGGTCGAAATATGGAAGTGCCTGGATATATGTCTTGTATTCGATCAATTTCTCTGTGCCACGATGCAAAAGTCCGACATGTGGATCAGCGCGCACGATCTCCTCGCCATTGAGTTCTAAAATCAAGCGTAGCACTCCGTGGGCAGCAGGATGCTGTGGGCCAAAATTCACTGTATAATGGCGAATCTTTCGGTTGTGTCCAGCGTCAGACTCAAGGCCTGAAGATTCGCCTACCGAGCCTTGGGGTGTCGTTTGAAATTCGGGACCGGTTGGGATTAATCGGGTGGCTTGATAGGACGATTCCTCATATTGTCTGCGGGCGGTAGAATTGGAAAGGTATCTAGGTATACTGAGGCGGGCGGCTCTGTTGGGTATCGAACTGGAAAGACACAGCCTTTTCGGCGCATGTCGCGCAAAAAATGTGAGCGTAGAGGCCATGGTTGGCAGGTAGAAGTTCGGGCACAGCTCTAAACGACCGTGCCTAAAGCCTCCACGCAACAAAAAAGATATCTGCGACAAGCAGAAGGAATTGGGCTTCACTCGTTGTTCTGCCCGTCCAAAGCGAACCCGAGATGTTGCTGAACTACATCACGTGACTATTTGATTAGCGATCCATTCCGCGCTGTGTGATTGGCCATGGCGAACAAGCTCCATTTGATTCGGCTAGTTCATTTCAGGTCTAGCGCGTTTGTTACGAAGCGTTTATTTTATTGGCGGAAAGAATCTCTAAATAATCTTTTGCGCGGACTGAGAGTTCATCACCAACACTCATCAACTTGTTCCAGGCGAGATTACATAGCAGGAAGGCCATGGCACCCCGTATTGCTGTTGCTGGGCCGGAGGAAATTCGCAAGAGAAAAGTAAGCTGTATTTTGCCAGTGCCTTGTTGGATTTATCTAACGGAAGCACGTAGATTATTGGCATCAACCCGGAAACGGTCACCCATATTTCCGCTACCGATTTTCCAGGGCACTGGGCTGGCGAAAATCATGCTTGGTCTATTGATAAGTTTCGAGAGGTAATACTGCCTCTTAGATATTCACCACCAGCTTTGCTCATCGGTCCCTTACTAGAATCTGAAAGTGATATTCCATAAAAATGATCCACTTGACGCCTCGTTTTCTCTCATCGGAGTCGATGCCGCAATTGCCAACGCTTTTCGCCGTATCCTCATTGCCGAAATCCCATCCCTTGCTATTGAAAACGTCTACATCCACAACAACACTTCCGTGATCCACGACGAAGTTCTTGCTCATAGATTAGGCCTCGTTCCACTCAAGGGCTCGCTTGAAGGAATAAACTGGATGGAGTGGTTTCCCGCACCTAAAGATGGTGAATCGGCTAGTGACCAAGTCGCAGGCGATTCTAATACCATTGTTTTAAAGCTCAAATTAGAATGCAGCAAGAACACAGACGCTCGGCCAGGCGAAGATGATCCTACAAAGCTTTACCACAATGCGCATGTGTATGCAAAGGACCTAGTGTTTGAACCTGTCGGACGTCAGGGATCATATTTCACAGGGCCGGAGGGCGTGGTTCAGCCCGCCAACCCAGACATTTTGCTCGCGAAGCTACGACCTGGGCAGAAGATCGATATGGAACTCCACTGCATTAAGGGCATTGGGCAGGATCATGCCAAATTTTCGCCTGTAGCAACCGCATCATATCGACTTCTTCCACATATCGATATCCGCCGCCCCATACTTGGCAATGACGCAGTAAAATTCGCAAACTGCTTCCCAAAAGGGGTTATCGGGATTGAGAAAGTCACTGCAGAGGAGGCCTCACGGATTGGGAGTGGATACGAAGGGAACGAAGGCCAAAAGAAAGCTGTGGTCGTGGACCCATTTAACGACACAGTTAGCAGGGAGTGTTTGCGACATGATGAGTTCAAAGATAAGGTCAAGCTTGGTCGAGTTCGAGACCATTTCATCTTCAACGTAGAGAGTGTTGGACAGTTCAATAGTGATCTCTTGTTTCTCGAAAGCGTGAAGGTCCTAAAGCTTAAGTGTGCTAGGCTGAAACGAAGCGTCGCAACGCTCGCCGATACGACAGAAAAGGTGAAGGCATAAATATCATTATATTATTACCATGCATTCCGGCGTTTTCGATATAGGAGGAGTGGAGCGCTGTGGCTTTGGAGTTTTTACGGTGGTGAATATTAAAATGTACTTACGCATATTATGATTTCTCATTGATTTATAAAACCTGGTTTTTATCTAGAACATTACGTGATAAGCATACTTAACTTTGCGGCTACCATAACGCAAGGTATCGTTTATTTGAATGTGATTTTGAATCGAAAGTCAATAGAGAAAGCCGAGTCGCTGACAGCAACTTCCTCCCCATCGACAACAAGCTCTCTCATCTTCCGGTCTAAGTTTGGCCGGGTTTGCTCTTCGAGTTGCGGCGGGAAACGCTGGTATAGAGTCTTTTCTTCAGTTCGTAAACTTGGAGACTTTAGTTGTGCTTCAGCTCGCTCGCCCAAGGACTCGACAAATTCACGGAGTGTTGCCTCGGGATCCACAATGACCTTTTTAGCTAAGTTTCCACAGACGGGACAATCTGGTTTCTGTTCCGAGGCAAAAGTGTATGTGTAGACACCTGCTTCCCCTGCATACATCATGTAGTTCTCTAAGAACGGATTGCATGAAGTTGCTATTTTAAGTGCTTCCGAAGTGCATGCTGCAGCAACGACAGCGTTTGTAGAAGCGATAGCAGGGATGATATTCTTCACAACACCCTGAGCCATTGAAAACGTTACACCGGGAATTGAGAACTTCTCGGCACGCTGGAGGGCACTATGGTAAATCCAAGTAACATGTTCCAAATCATCGCCATCAAAATCATCGCCTTTTCTTTGCTCGCCCCAAGCAATTTGGTGTGCCCATTCGATGCAATGCTGTGGTTGGCGCGGAATGGTCGCAATAGTACAGAGGGGAACGGCGGCCCTAGGTGCATGCATGTCAAGCTGGCACTCGATGCAGGACGTGAGGGTTGGGAGAATGACTCTTGCCTGCCCTTTAAATCCTGTGCTATGTATCAGATCAGAACGCTCAAAGTCTGGGAATCAAAAATATCGTACCCTCTGTACCACCATCAATAAGCGGTTTTAAGCTCTCAGGATTCTCAGAGTCTACCATACCCACCAGGGTAGCGTTGATCCAACGACGAGCTTCAATACTATCAAGTCCACATACTACCAGTTTAAACTGCATGTAGTAATCCTCATCTTTGTCTTGAATCTTTCCTACATAAGGCGTGATCTTGACGCCTTTCACTCTCCTCTCAACAAAGGCAGCAGCCACTTCTGCCTTAGGTTTCCCAACGTCGGCTTGGCGGAAAAGAAACTGTCGGTTCAGGTTTGAAATATCAATTGTATCTATATGAGGTTGGTAAACCGCAGGGTCATAGACATGAATAACTTACCCATGTCAATGACATGGATATCCTTAAAACCCGACAAAGCTAAGTTCTTGAGAATCTCACACCCTAAGCCGCCAGCGCCTCTAGCTTTATCAGCAAAGAAAACAAGATCAGCGTAGAGTAGCTTACATCACACTATAATACTTGTCAGCTTAGATATAGTGGGAAAGTTGAGTTTTGCATTTGCAGACATACAGAACTTTGGATCCTCTAAGCGCCGATATTGTCTCTTGTCCCGGTATCCAATCTTCATCGCTGAAAGGACCTCGGCGGGTAAGTATTCTGTGGAGATACTTCCTATATAGAGGTTTAGTAAGCTAACTGTACTGTTTAGATGCCTTGACATACCATCGATCTTGACCCGGGTTGGTAGGCTGAGGAGCTTCCCAAGACATCTTCTGAGGCCGTTAAGTGCGGGGAATTGCAAGACAGGCTGTGAAATAAGAAGTGGAGAAACGGGAATACACAAAATTCGAATTCTTTAGCTCCGGAGAAAAAGTCAAACGAGCAATAAACTAGATCTGTGCACTCGTCAGGTGTACTGATATCAATGATACGGTGAACGGGGAATGTCTACCAGTTGTTGCTGGGGTGTGGGAATGTAAATCGTTGAGTAAAGTTCTGCATGTAGTGATGTCGTTATGGTTCCCGTAACAGTAATTAAATATAAGAATGAGACAGGATCAATGTCTATTCTGTAATATAAGGCCATCGCGTTGGTGTTGATTCCCCTCGTTCAGTGGCATGGAGTACTATTGGATCCAAACTGTTTGCATAGTTTGTGCTGTTTGCATTGATCCGGCCCTTATAAAAATCCAAGAGCAGTATTACGAATGTCAAAACACCCATTAACTTAATTACATAGGGTCTTCTATGATGGATAGTCTCTTGACAGCTGTCAAGACTGTGGATTTAGGGCACCGTGATGCTGATCTCTTAGGGACCATTTCAGGAGATGCAAACACATCCACCACATCGTCAGATGAAAGATGCACCATTGATACACCCGAGGAAGCCCTTCGGGTGCTCACTTCTGAGCCATCAGAAATTCAATTTCTTTCTGCATTGAATTTTCTTGACCCCACCCAGGTATCGAAAAACAGATTTGACATTACCGTCCCGGAACCACCCACCGTTTCTATTGTGAATAGCTTAGTGTCTTTAGCAATTAATCACCGCTGGGCAGCTATCGAGAAAGAGTACAAATCGTCCACCAAATCTAGAAGAGCAAGAACTGCTAAAGCAGTAGTACTGAGATGCTTAACTTCTGTTGGCGGAATTGGGGCTTTGATCGCTAATCTTCGCACGCTTCTTGATCAACTTTCAGGCCTACGTGAAGGCGAGAAGGCGTCAAGGCACATTGTGCTTCGTGATAATCTTTCGGCCTTATCAAATGTTCTACATACCCCAGGCCTATTGTTTAGAATATACCAGCAGATAGCTCGAGTTGATCATCTTGCGAAGAGACAACTTGCCTGGTCACAGCTGATGGTTTTCCTTGCTTCTAGCAGGGTATTATCCACTGCAGCCGAGACTTTGGACGCAATTAATGATCTGGATAGCCTTAGCTCCATCAGATGGATTGGAGACGGCAAAACCTATGCTTCGTGGCTTGGCCACTCCATCGTGTCTATGGCATTAAGCTTAGATAACAGTGATACAGAAGCATGGAGAAGCCTGGGAAAATTTACTCAACGTGCTTCGAGTCTTGGATATCTACGTAAGTATTTTTTTTATAAGGATAAACCGTTGATTTTACCACTAATTTTGCAGATAGATGACCTCTCGAACGCTTTGTATTCTGAATTCTTATTGCGACCCGACACTCGAGCAGATGAGTTCAGGACCCTTATGGGTCTACTAGATGCCCACTCTCAGAAACGAATTTTTGGGTCCATATTGCATAGCCTGGAAAACAGTTATCTTTCAAGTGCTTCTAAATGTGACTCTATTTTACTTGCCGATACCCATACAGGTCGTGCTGTAGGGGGTGTCGCTGCAATTGTAGCGTTGATCATTGATTTGTTACCTGCTCTTTCTGCGCACCTTATCCAGTGCCTTGTTAAAGGCGTTGACAGTAATATTCGGGGCATCATGATGCGCCGTGCTCTAGTTTCAATATTTGCATCCAGAGATGGTATATTACATCTACCCTAGTGCAATACCACTGAACTAATCATATGCCTTTAGATGTCTTATCTGATATTCTTAACAAAGCTACCATATTTTTTGGAGACGAACTCTACATTAAGCATGCTCCTTTGAAGGCCCAAGAAGGTGAGCTTCCGTACTCCATGGATTTTCCCAAACTCACCAATCGCTCCAATATAGCCAACTCTCAGATCATTTTACTTATCGCCGGATATTTGCACCGATGTAATGCTGCAGAATTGGCTACTTTTACAAAATCGGGCACCTATCTTTCTGCAATAACTCATCGAATTGGAGCATCCCTTCCCCGATCCAGATTTTTAGGCATGGCTGTTGGGATGGGTCTGTCTAAATTGACCGACTCTCCTGACAAAGCCTTGAAATTTCAATCAGATGAGATGCAAACTCAAGATGCTTTATGGTATATCAACCTAATAACATTGCACGACAAAATAGGCTCTCCTACCGACTTAGTGGGATTCAAGTGCGCAAGTCTCAATCCCACCGAAGGGTCTAGATCTATGGAATATACGGTGCAGAAAGCTCATATCCAGCCAAAATCTAAACTCAATACATCAAGAGTCATCAATATTGAGGAGGTACCTGATAGTGCAGAAGACGAAGATATATATTCCTATGAAAAGCCCGATTCAGATGCGTCTGACTCCGAAGATGATCCAACCCTTATCCAACGCTCGAAGCCTTCTGCTCCAGTGTATGTACCAGGCTAATTGTTTGATTATTTGACATTTACTAAGTCCAGCATAGATATATCCGTGACCTTGTATCTGCCCTTAGGGATACAGAGAATCCGGAACGGTACAATCTCGCCATTGCATCAGCCCCAAATCTTATCCGCCGCAAAACTGGGTTTGGAACGGAAATTATTGAAAATGCGAATGATCTAGCCTTGAGCTTGGTTTCACTCCAGGATAAATATGACATAGCAAATTTTCATGAGAATCACTTGGAAGGACTCGTCGCTCTCATAACTGCCCTTCCGAATCAGATGGGCCATTGGATGACGCACGCGCTATTCAATATCGACCTTTCTCTAGCTCATCGATCAGTTATCCTTATTTCGTTGGGCGTGTCTGCTAGGGAACTTGCTGGATTTCGAGATGAGGATACAAAGGCAATTGGGCTTAGCGAACCATCTAAACCGCTATTTCCTTCCAAAAAATTGCCCCGGCATTTTGATTCGATCTATAGCCCTTCAAAAGAGGGGTTTGAGAATATTTCGAAACGCATTACCCAAGAAATATTAGAGCCTCTGGCTTTGAGCGCGACAGATACACTGACTGGGCCAAACATCATGAAACTCCAGCCTCTCTACTCGCAGGCTACAAAGAAGAAGCAAAATCGAGATGAGAAGTTGAAACAAAAACAAAAACATTTATCAAAAGATAAACGTGAAGTTCTTTCAAATGCGTTCCTGTTACCACTTCTGAGGGAATTTGATGTCATGATGTACACCATGCGGTATGGAATTCTGAGTTGCTGCTCCATCCGTTTAGCTTCATACTAACTCCAACTCAACTAGATCCTTTGGAAATCAAAACCCCTTTCTTGAGCCGCATCTGGTGTGTCTTTTTATACAAACAGTCACACTTCTTTTTTTCACATTTGGACCATATTCTCCAGATGTTGGTTTGTTCACACGCGAGATATTGTCTCTTCTAATTACACTTCACAACTTGCCCGTCGCCTCAGAGCCAATTGTCCTGCCTGCAATTCTATCCCTCCTCTTAACAGTACTGGACATCAATATTATATCGGGCAGTTCTGCTGAAGAGAGACTTGTCACGAACTGTGCGGCGTCCGTAATCGAGCTACGAGAATGGGTAGAAGGCGTTTTCGAGCGGACGCCGGCTGAAGAGGAGCGCGTCAGGGCCCTTTCAGCAGGGATTCTCGTGAAACTTGAGGAAACTACCAGCAGGTACCAAGGCAGGCTTCTTGGATTAGACAGTAAATTTCAGTACTGAAATACAACCAAGATGATGTGCAAGTTGAATGTCTAATATTCCTGATGTTTTTGGTTGTTAAACCCACTGAGTTCGAAAAATAACGTAATATGATGAACCCTGGCTATTGATTTGACGGCTCTAATGTTGCCGTTTCAATAGCCGCTTCCATCACCCGATTACCGTTGACTATTCCAGTTGTACAGATCAATATCCGTCTTCTCGATTCTTCTTGTTTGGAAATAAAACGTAATGCAGCAATTTCTGCAAAGGTGATTCCACCTAAGAAAAAGATAATCACAGTCTTGACACCACCATTTCCAGTTAAGGTCTGTTTTGTGCGAGAGGCCTTTTCTTCTGTTTTCTGAACGAGATTAAATGTGGCTCCACGAGCACTTTTGACAATGTCCTCAAACCCTAACCATCCAGGAGAAGGCGTGCTACCAGATGCAGATGCTGCTGCTGCTGGCGCGGGTAGACTCTTTGTGAGAGCCAAGATATGTGGCTTTTGGATAATACACTGGATTAAGCGTATACTTAATGGGGCATATCCACTGTATACATATGCTATGTCATTTGGATTTTGCTCGTCGACTTCGTCGACAATTAATCGAAGAGCTTTGCGAAGATAACCATAGTTTGTTTTCAGGTTTGATGCCCCTCCACTGCTACCAGTAGGTAAAATCATAGCAGTAGCCGAAGATCGTGATTGAAGAAGTTCCATTTTTTCAAGAGCATAGAGGGTTACTAGATGTTGGTAACCATAAGCCTGAAGTATCTGTTTCTTAAAATTCTCAAGGTCTCGGTGACGAAAGCCACCACCGACACAAGATTCGATACACATTAGACGTAGAACAGAATTGATAGGGACATTCCTAGCAATAAGTTCTTCGATCAAGTCATGTTGGGTTGAAGGGTCCGCGCCGGCAGCCAAATTTTGCTGGACCTCCAGTATTCGTCGAAATATATCTGACCGTGTTTGGCGCATGATCTCTTCTGCGAGGTTTGTGTGTGTCTTCAAGCTTGTATGCTCTGCCTGATAAGCCGGGAGTTTATTGACAAATTCTCGAAGTTCCGATGTCGTCTTAGCTCCATGTCGGCTCTCGTAGTCGCTCTCCAGGCGTCTTGCGATTTTATTCAATATACCTCCGACGATAGCAAAATTAGCATCGCGTAGTTGGCTAAAAAGCTGGTCAGACGAATCCACCTGGATCTTGCGATTCAATGATTGCTTTACAGCAGACGATGAACCAGAAGATGAGTTTTGCGACATGCCTGCACCGATTATTGTTGAATCAATTTCTGCTTGGTTGTGTTTAATACCAAAGAACTCATCCACAAGCCCCTCGTAAGTAAGTTGGGTCATTAGTGTAGTCGCAAAATCTACATCGCGATCGATGACGATCAAACTTTCAATCGTCGAGCTAACCATGAGCCCCCGACCTGACGCATCTAACAATTCTGACGATTCTTCAGCATCGGCCTCTTTTCTCATGCGTAGCAATTGATCTGCTAATTTCTTGGCATTATCACCCTTTCCAACTATACGTGGGAATATTCCATGTCTTCTTTGGAGTTGCATCAATGCCTTGACTGAAAGATAGATCGAGCTAGGGTCATGATGCTACTAACTGTCAGAGCTAGGTGGAATAGAGATTGAGCTGCACATACGAGATATAAGTCACCAAACGACTCCGGCAGTTCTAAAGAGAGGACGTCATTCTCGAGTGGGAAGAAATATAAAGGAAGCTCAGCGATGTTTACATCTCCGATAATTCCTTCATCCTCAAGGATCTGGTTGGACACAAGTGTCCTCCGTGGAACCCAAAAAATTGAATACTCATGTTCAGTAGTGCCATTGCGCTGAAGCTTCCGAATTTGGGCTAAGCAATAATGTTAGCCCATACTGATGGCCATCAAGCAGTGGAAGCGGATAGAAAGAAGGCTATAGGGACGGGCAATAAAGATAGTATCTCTGATCTGATATAGGGAACTCGACTGACAACGAAGGGTGGAGATAATGGAGCCCACGCAGTCTACTGTTTGTCCCAATGGTTGACTCAAAACCATATACAACAATAACATATCGACAAAGAGGGGAGGGCGACAAAGGCAAAATTAGAACATCAAGCATTGCGTACTTACCAGCTACAGTGCTTACATGCTTGGGCTTCTCAGCATGAACCAAGAAAACGATATTCCGTTGAGAAGAGTCAACATTCTCGTTTTCAAGTAAGAAAACACGGTCGACTCCATATTCTTGAAGGGCAGAAAACTTGACAAATAGTCCGAGGGGTCCTGCAAGCTCCTTGCTAATCACAAGGTTCTTTTTGCCTCTAACCTAGAAAACGTAAACATTGGGCGACAAGGTGGGGCGGTCAGAGAAGGTCGCAACTTACGCCTTCAAGAAGACTGAGAAGTTCTTCTTGGGACTTTTCCTTGATATAATCCGCCTCAAGACCCGGATGAGGAGCCATGATTGCCAATTAGCCGCATCAAGGCAGCAGGTGAATTTTTATTTTCCCAAAGATACAAGTCTCATGTAGCCAATAGCATTATGGGTTAAGGTATGGCAGTGAAGTTCGCAATCCTAATGCTCGACGTGAAGAGTTTCGGGTTGTTTGGTGAAGTTGGGCAGCGACTAATCTAGCCGGTTTAATACTAGCGTGCGCCACCACGCTGGAATCACGTGAAAGGAGGCGTCTCATCTAAGGCTCCCGCTGAGCCCCCATCTGGAGGCGTATTTACTTCATTGTCAAGAACGTTCTTGTTTTCCCCCTTACGTTCTACTCTACTCGCTATAAAATCGTACTACCTACCTAGATACTTTAATTGAGAGGCAATTTCCCCATACTTGCCCTACATTCGACTATTTGCAGACACCACCCTACTTCTCCTGAAAACGTTCACTCCTATTTCATACAACATGAGAAAACTGGGTTTTGGGAAAAAAGGCGAAAGCGGAGATGATGAAAGCAATAGGAAGGCACTGTTTGGGTCGAAGAGCAAGAGTCCAGCTCCTCCAACAAACCCTTATGCCCAAGCTCCTGCCTACTCAGACCCCTATACTGAAGCGAAACAAAAGATATATCAGCCTCAGTCGCAGCCTTCTGCTGGAGGACTACCTAGCGGCCCAAAACGCGGAAATATGGGTGTGAATCAACCTCAGAATCAAATGCCAAGTGCAGGTGACCCGTATGGTGATATGAATGGACGCGGCTACGGCCCAGGGCGACAAGGTGACCAAGGTGGTTATGGGAAGGATAGATATGGCGGTGACGATAGATCCGGTGGAGGCTCAAGATATGGCCCAGGTGGTTACGGTGGCCTTGGAAATTCTGACCCCAACGCTGTCGATGATAATAGAAATGCCCTCTTTGGAGACGCCCAACAACGCGTCCAGGATAGGCAACAGCAGCAGCATGACAATGGCTATCCTCCTCCGTACAGTTCCCATAGCGGGTCACAGAACGAAAGCGGCGCTCCTGGGACTACTTCAGGTGGTTACGGCGCCTACCAAGAGCGACAGCTCACAGCAGAAGAGGAAGAAGAGGAGGATGTGCAGGCAATGAAACAGGAAATCCGCTTTATGAAGCAACAGGATGTGTCATCTACCAGAAATGCTCTACGTGTTGCCGCAGAAGCTGAAGAGACAGGCCGCAGCACCCTTGCCCGCCTCGGAGCACAGGGAGAACGAATCCACAACACTGAAAAGAATCTTGATCTTGCTGCAAACCAGAATCGTCTCGCAGATGAAAAGTCTCGAGAGCTAAAACGACTCAACAAGAGCATGTTTACCATGCACGTTGCCAATCCCTTTACTAGCGAAGAGCGCCGCAAGGCGCGTGACAATGCGATCATCGATCGACACCAAGAAGAGCGCTTGCAACGAGAGGAAACGCGGCAAGCGGCATTCCGGACAGAACAACGCCTTGGCCAGACATTCAAGGATATGGAAAAGAAGGGCAAATCCTCGACGACGCAAGGAAAGGCCAATCTCGCGGAGCGGTCGAAATACCAATTTGAACAGGATAGTGAGGATGATGAGATGGAAAATGAAATCGACTCCAATCTTGACGCACTCCAGGGTGCGGCAGTAAGATTAAATGGCCTGGCCAGGGCTACTGGGAGGGAACTTGAAGAACAAAATAAACGCTTGGACGTTATTATGGGCAAGGTGAGTTTTCTGTCGTGCTTTTAGCTTCCTTACTAATTTCCTGTTTCCAGAGCGACTCTGTAGACGATCAAATCCATATGAATCGTGCCCGGCTGGACCGGATCCGTTGAGGCCGTTGAGTGATTTTCCTGCCAGTGGCTCTAGATGGCGAACCTGTTCCATGGGTTGCTTGCTGCATGTTTTGCCTTTTTTTGTTTTCTTGGAGACTTTCTTTTCCTGCTTGCATATAACTGCTTGGTACGAATCACAGCATTCTCACAGCATTCTGGACCATGGCTGCTCCAAACATTTGTCCATAGCATCTCTACGTTTTGCTATCTGCCCTTATAATCTCTCGTAGTCTGCCATTTTAGTACCCGACGACACCTACTCTCAATAGCAAGATATTCAAGGCCGAGAAAGAATTAAATCTTTCTAATACACTGATCAGTTTAGTCAAAGCATTGACAAGACCCATATGGAGAACGATCTTTTGATAATCACCGACTCAAGACTTACGTGTAGTTTCCTAGCATGATTAGGTAAACGGGTTATTCGAGGTAGTATATCGAATAGATCCGACAGTATTTTTTTAAGAATCCGTACACTTATATCATATTGGTAGAGTTAATTCGTTATGATAAGAGGTTTTCTTGAGAATTGGTGGTGATTGGAATACTTTTTTTACAGTCACTTTAAATTGATAACCTATTTGAATATTTACAGATTGAGATTTCCCAATGGTTTCTTCGGGTGCTCAAATCCTATTCGCAAGGGCAATTCAAGCCAACAAAATTACCACTGTCCTTTACGCGGGGACTACAGGTAATATTTCATCCAACATAATATTGGCCCAGGCAATATTAGAATCTATTTCACCCTCTTGATGACAATTTTCGGTCTGTACACTACCTTGCATACAACCTAAATCGAGAAAGTCTAGGTTGACGTCAGGAAGATTTTCGTATGGGGGAGGCAACAGATGTTGTGGCGGGACACCTGGTTCCAATGATGAAGGTGGGCTGCAATCAAAATTTATTGACGCCATGTTCTCGGCGCAAGATCCAGCTTCAAGTATGGGGTCAATGGCGGGTATATCGTCAACGCCTTGAAGGTAAGTAGTATCTGGCGGGGAAGCCTTTGAAGAGTCGGCAGGGATTTCCTGAACTCGCAGCGTACCTTCAGGAACCAAGTTCGAGGCGCTCGGTTTTGGTATTTCACGAACAACAACGGGAAGGTCGCTATCTTTGGGATAACGACCCCGTGAAAGGGCATAATCAAGAGTAGAGGATATCCGTAGATAAAAGCGTGGCTGTCGCACAAATACATCCGTCCAACATCTCTTTTCGTGCGAAGGTTTTGAAATATCACCTAGTTAACCCGAAAAGTTTTGATTAGTGAGTGTCCTTCTTCAATATTATGTACTACTTGGCCTAATCTCACCTTCCAGGGGTGTAATAGAGATATAAGGGTTTTGAGACTCTACAAATTGGAGAATTTCTCGTACAAACACCGCAACGTCATCTGTTCCATCATACCGATTCCGATATAATTGCATGACCTCGGCATAATATTTTAACTGCCGCTTTCTGGTAGTTGATTGGGATATCGAGCGTGACAGTTTGACATCCATAGCATAAAGAATAAGAGGGAGAGCCGTATATGCAACTCTAGAATCGGTTTAAATTAGAATTTCCTGCTCTAAAGGATTCGCAATGAAATTGAGTGGAAGGTAGCACTTACGCACTAATAGGTAAATGGCGGGCAACACCACGAGCCAACAACCGCTTTACACATTTCGTGACCCCCAACGCTCCATTCTCCAAGTCATCTCTGATAGTGTTAAGTCGCTCCTCATAAGAATTAGCAATCAAATTTGAATTATCCTCCAGAAGCAAGGCTTCATGATGGCATAGGGCGACTAGTGCTGTGCTATATAGCAGCTGTCAGAAGACATTTCAATGTTAAGGTGTTGGCAGGTGCTTACTGATAATACATGTAAGTTAGTTCAGAATACAGAACAACGGATTCATGGACCTCATCTGAGCCGGAAAAGGTGGCAAATGCCATTTTAGCATCTTGTTCCCAGAGAGATAAATTTCGTTTCAGCTTCAATATGTCCGTCATTTTGGCCTGGAACTCGTTTTCTGTCATGATTTGTTCCTTTTTTGAACCATTCGCACCGTACACAGCAGTTAATACGTCGGTAATGGCCATCACCAGCTGACATTGGATATTCAATACCCCTGCAAGATGTCGTTTTGTCTCGACACTGTAAACTTCAGAGCAATATATCTCCTCCTGCAAATCCTCCACAGACATGTAATCCAACGTCAAGTCATATGTCAACGGAGAGACTTGAAGCGGTCGACGCAGTCCCAGAGGTAAAATCCTATCACGTAACAAAATAGACCACCATAACCGCTTCTTCGTATTTCGATAGGAATCATTACGATCTAATTTATGATAATTATGTGCCTCCAGAGGGAGGGCATTCTGAATTGCAACGTTAAGCCATAAGCTGCCAGCATGGAAATGTAATGACGAGCTCTGATAGGTGAGTAGCACGGCGCCTTGAGCTTTAGCTAATGCGTCGTGTTCAGCACTAAGGTCATGAAGCAGCTAGGGATAAAAAAATCAGTTTTTATCAAACTAGGCACCTATAATTCTTCTTCACTTACTTTTGCCCGATTGTAGAATACATTTCTCGCAGTCCGGACATCCGAAAATCCAGCAGCAATGACGACATGACGAGGCACGAACTACAATTAGAGATCCTTTAGATTAAGGGAAAAGGAGTAGAGTTGTAGGGAAAACGTACAGCACAGCTCACAAATAGCATTGCTTGAAATACAAATAAAGAAATAGTGCCTGGCTTCCCGGTAAAGCCGGGTCGACTGTAGTAAGATCGCCAAAAGTCTCCCTCGTGGAGTAGTGGGAGGCATGGATGGACATGTAAGAAATATTGGCGTATGAATTCGTCTAATATTGAGTGTGTTGGAACATGTAGACATCCCTTCATTTCGAGAAACCGGACATCTTCCTGTGGCAGAGTTGAAAGATCTCTCAGTTCTAGAAATCGATAAAGAGAAAAAATGACATTCGAGCTATGGCGTGGGGTATCAGGAGCTATTGAGAGCATTGGTCTGGGAAGCTGAGCCTCGATAGTGGGAACTGTATCAAGCGGAATTTCCCCTATGAAATGTATTAAAGCCCATGCCTTGATTACACACGAATTGGAAAGAGCTCAGCCCAGAATATATCTTGATCGCCAACTATTATGGTGACAATATTTAAAATGGGTAAGACGTACTAGCTTGCCAAATATTTGATCTTGAGTGGCCTTGCACGGAATCAATGATATGAGGCTCTGGTGACAAATCTATAATTTCCGGAAAGCCTTTATGTAGGCTCGGTTTATGAATAAGGGAATTCGACGCGCCTAGATTGGCCATTGTGGGAAGCCTCGTCACCCGCCTGTGACATATCAATCTGTTAGCTTGATAAAGCGCAGTATAGACAGGCAGAAGCTAGTATCAAACATTCGAAATCATGTATAAGCAGGGACATTGTCAAACCTTACCCCCTTGCGGAGCTTGCTCGAATGGAGCATTCTTGTTCATCAAGCCGGCAGTTTGTGCACGGGTTTCCATGAATGGAGACATCGCAACGAACCTTGCGCTCATGGCACCATATGCAGGCCATACGCGCGCGCTTTCTAGGCCTTTGAGAAGGATCCATTTTTGACCTTGATTGAAGTAAAGGCTGGTTGTAGTCGAAGTTGAGCCTAGGTACGGAGTACAGAAGACAATATCAGAGCCCTCACGTTCCTAGGGCATAGAGGGCACTGTGATGAATGTAAACAGTGGTGACGAAGAGCTGAGATAGAGAACGAGGGGCCTAGACACGCTTCCTTCCGTGTAAGGGGTGTCGGGGGATTATTTAAGCGGAGATCAATCCCGGGGTAGTTACCTTTAGGCGCAGCTACTAGCCTTTGAGGCGACCGCCAAACCAGTAAACTGGCATGAGATTTAATGTCTTGCTCAACATTCAAGCAAGATGTATGCTATGCTCTATATTGCATAAAATAGCTGCTCAGTTTGACAGTGACATCACGCTGCAGCAACACACAAGATTGCAAGAATGGCCGTGCTTTCTGTAATCAAGACAATGTAGGCCGCTCAGCACTCCCGTGTCTCAAAAGTCTCAAGATCAACTGGCGGTTTCCAGCAGCTCGCCACATCGGCTCTCGGGAACATAAAGGCGAACTTCAGGCGGCATTGGCGTACATTATGTCCGGTTTCTCGGTACATCCGGGCTTTTGCTAAGGCGTTTGCGCCCAGTTAGCTCCAATGCCAAGCTGAATGGTGTAACTGCCCCATCGCGCCATTATGGCGATTTTGTTTGATCAACCGCTCAGAGTAAGGTTGAAAGAATACCAGAGAGGTCCTAGGATAAGAGTGAGCAAGCGAGAAAGCGAGAGAGATGCGGTTGCGTTTGATAATCTTCATGATGACCTGATCCGGCAACCTCGATTAACTTTCCGGAAGTCGGGATGTTATTTTGCCGTCTAGTTAGCCAATGGGCGCGCGATCCAATGTACCCCGCCTTTTCGGAATGTAAAAATAAAGTTCCGTCGATCCGGGGCTGCTGACATAATATCGGCATTCTACCATTGGATCACGAGCTCTCTCGAAAAAATCCGCTGTTATGCTGTTTCTGTATTCGCAATGAATTTGTGGACCACTAACTACTTGTGCCGCGCCAATTGTGACGCATGACTTTAGGGGAACATGTGAGCTTGGTAAGCAAAAGAGAGAACACTGACTGAGATGTTTGTTCATTATGGTTTGCTACAAAGTCTGCACAGGAAAGCACTGTACTAACAGAAAGTTTGAAATTGAACATGGGTCATGCAACAAGTCAAGGAAGAGCAAAAGGCAGCTGCACAACATCCATGGCCTCGGTCAGCAGGGAAATAGTACCAGGATCGAGACTCTGCGTCCTCGTGAAAGAAGCTGCACTGCTCCGACTTTACTCAAGAGCAGGTGTCATTGTGACGGACCATTCTCCACCGTAACTTTATGCTGGCCGAGGGGCGGGATACTCGTCAAAACGTCGCATTTTGTTATGCTCTCTTGACCCCGGGCTTGCACGATTACCTGGATCCCGCTTTTATGCATATTAAAACGTGCATTGACGGATTTAAAATTCAGAGAAACAACGGTCACAACCATCAATAAGCAGTGGAACTCTTAAATTGAGTCTGCGTTTCGATTTCAAACTTTCCATCCCAGCTGGGATCCTTTTGGTTATTCCTGCTTCCAGCGTTTCAGATAAAATAATAATAATGCTCGATCCTTCTAACCTGTCAATACTCGGTAAGTTACTACCCACGTTCGGTGGATCCTCCAGGCTCCATCCCACGCCCACGCTGATGGACTCAGGACTTAGAAGCTCAGTACAAGTGCTTTCGCTTCACTTTCTCCATGTACCCATGTAGAGTTACATACATATGCATGAAGTCCAGGACAATAGTGAAAAATGACTTTTGTCTTCGACTATGGCGCCTTTCTCAATAATATCGGCATTTCTTTAGCTGGTGTTTTACTTCGCACGCTGGAAATAATGGACCACGAATCAAACTCAAGAAACTACCACATCACTATCTTGAGCTCTGTGGATACATTTTGGTTAACTAAGGAGTTAAAAGGTCCTCGATATCCGCAGGAGGAATAAGGCTTGCAGCAGCGGGCTTGCGCTATTATTGCTAAGCTGTTCTGATAATGGGGTGGAGACTCTTAGTGATGACGAATGTTCTCTTGGATCAAATAATCACTGCAAACTGCAAGCTGCAAGCATGAGGAGAGATCCAGCCCTCTCCCATGAGCTATCCAAGTCCACCACATCCAGAGCAAATGTCGCCGCCTGCTTTTTCTACTTTAAGTAATAGCAAGGTGAAGAATCCGATTTGGATGTAAGGTAGTGGCCCCACAAGCTCCTTGAAAATTATCGTTGACGACTCCCCATTCAAGTTGACGAATTACACTACATTCCATACGAGAATGCAGGCTGCACGTTATGATGGTTGCCATCTGGCCGAGACCAGGCTATACTCGTGTGCAGGCTCTTGCGGCACTATTCCTACTGGTCCAAATTCCGCTCTGTTCGGGGGGTCAATGGCTATGCCACCAGAGTGTGTCTTTACCCGGTTTGCACTTTGCTCTTTCTTTGGCTCTGAGAGGAGGGTCTCTAGTCTACTATACCACTCCCTCCCTTCTGAAATCCGTATCCCTACGAGAACAGCAGTTTGCCACCTGTTAATTATCGTCATACCCAACAGACTGCAAGACGAAATGGGTTACACGGGCAAGATGCCCTAGGCAATATGAATCCTTTAGGAATGTGTATTTACCTTCCTCTTTGTTCAAACTTATCTTAGGACCTTCACCTTCGTAGAAAGCTAGACCATATCGACTGTTAGGGACGACTCCTCCGAATGTATATGCCTATTATACCCTGTAATTAATATTCCGAACGGCCGTTTATCGCAACCGGACGCTATGTCCAAATTGAGGCATAATTCCACCTACAAGATCCACAAACAGATCCCCCAGTATGGCGCTCGGATAATTGCAAGCCAACAGTCATAATGTATTATGGCCAACCTATAGTGCAAGACAATCATCCTCAGCAATTCAAGCTCAGAGACTAAGTATTTTAAAAACACTGTCTGGTTGTCTACTTTTATTTTGGAACCGAACAGATCCAGAGACTTCTAGAAAGGTAGGTCTGCTTTTCCAAATTGTTATGGAGGCATTCAGTCCAAAGATCCTAAATTTTCCTTTGAAATCACAATTGCATTAAGGAGAAGATGTTAAAGGCTACCATGGCATAAGCTTGATCTTCTTAACTGGCGGTGAGTGTTAATACTGAAATTCTATAAGAAAAAGAGGAATGATGGGAGTTATCTTAACTCCTAAGGCTCAGTTCGTTGCGCAAAAGCTGCGTAGCCACTCTGGCGGATAGTGAAGTCATTCATTATAGAAATGTCATCATCCACGATACCAACGTATCCAGGTTTCTTTTTGCTATGATAATAAACCCCACCTGTATGATATCATTCAGAGCCCGTGAGTTGATTAGGTTCCTATATGGGTTACTACAACCAATCCGTATTAGTATCATCCTATGGGTTTAAGCATCACACTGATAAGAATAGACTTTGACGAATTCGGGGTTGTAACTGGTAGCTTGATACACAACGGTCCCTTTTGATGGTTAGTATGGGTAATATTATTGCCGTCAGCGCTGGAAGACTGTTGAGGGTGACGAAGCTGAAGATAAGGGTGTCGTGCCCGGTACACGGCATCGTTCTATATACAGCCTCCTTCATCGTCATTCGTAGCGCACCTACTCTCCCGTCTCGAATGACTCGAGTAAAATGCCAGATAAAACATCGCTCTCGGCACGAATCGCACAGTCAACCACCCGTAAAACGGCCCCTAGGGGGGATGCGAATCCAGCAAGCAGGTGGTCCTCGACGCTATCGGTTCCGTATTCCGGAAGTACCTAGTCGAACTCCGATGCCTGACTGAAATAATCAATAAATGCATGCGTCGCCGGCAACCTACCCAGGGACACCGCCTTTTTCGCCGAGAACAGACAAGCGGGCAGCATCAGCATGATCAAGAGGGGGAGGGGGGGAGTGGCCGACCAGCAGGTGTTGCGACTCCCAAAGATATTCGATAGAAAACAATATACGGAGTACGGGCCGCGTTAGTTTACCTCTGGCAGGGATGGCAGCAGGTAATCGGGGTTAAGAAGAAGTGTGGTGTCCGATGAAACACGGATGGATGCTTGTTGAACACAGAAGAAAAAGCCAAACTGAGCCAATTTAGTCCGCATAAAAAAAAGAGGGGGGGGGGGGGAAGAAATGGGACCCAAGAAAAACGAAACTTCATGTTCTGGAGATTTTTGTTTCTTCGTCTCAGACAGGCTTCTTCCCTCCCTCCCCTCCCTCTTCAAGAATAATAAGAATAATAAAACAAAACACAAAAAAAAGAGCTGACGCCGCCTTCTCGTATCGATCTCGGAAAAGACGACGTTTTGCTTTTCCTTTGATATCCAAAAAGGAAACAACGCAGGTACCGACGTAACCGACTGGGGCCGAAAGCGAATAAAAAAGAGAAAAACAAAAAAAAACGAGGCGCTGTTGAGGGAGCGGGAAGAGCGTGCAGAGCCAGCCAGTGTGCAGAAGAGAGAGAGAGAGCGAGAAGAGCCAGCAAGGATGGCAGCAAGTACTCCCTACAACTCGGCTGAGAGTTTTTTTCGGCAAATCGACACGGCAGTGAAACACGGATGACGCAAGGGAAGAACAGAACAGCCAAAGAGAATTTTGTATTTAATCTTTTTTTGTTTTTTCGTTTGTTTTGTTTTGTTTCTTGCGTGTGTAGGTGTGGGCGAGTGAGCTTGCGTTGAACAGGAGGCTGAGGTGAGCAAATTTGGAGAGGGTTTGAGTGGGTGTGAAGGTAACAATCAGAAGAAGCCTGCATTGCGTCTATTATTAAGGCCCAAGGAACAAGCCCTCTCAACAATCCAATAAGGTGTGTTTCACATTTCAAACAGCCTACCAAGTAATTAGGAGGGAGTTGAATATCCATCATGGATTCAAAACTGGAATACTTCCAGAACAAAAAGTAGAACAGAACAGCGTAATAGAAAACACGAAACGCATCAGAAACCCGGTTATCAATGCCATCCCAGAAAATATTGCTTTCCAAGCGCCAAAGGTACAAGACAAATACCCCTCTGGAGATAACAAAAAACACCACAACAAAATAAAACCAAAAAAAAAAGATCAATGCAGCCGTATGCTCTCCAAGACACACAAAACGACGGACCCTGATCTAGCGAGAGGGTATATAGGGGGCAGTTGGTGTATGTCGTTAGAGAAAGGGAGGTGTGGGGTCGGCAATACCGAAATCCGCTGACGAGAGCAGAGTCACTCTATCCCAGCGAAGGAAGAAAGCAAAAATTGCAGGTGGAAACGTAGCGGGAAATAATAATGGACCGAATTTTTGGATTTGAGTGCCCAGCCGTAAGTTGCCCCCGTATATGTATGTATGTATATACCCCCCTGGTAACAAAAACGAAAAAGAAAAGAAACAAATATAATCTCCACGATGAGGGTATCAGATGTGCCGCAACCTGAAAATCACTGAGAGCGGGTATAAAAAATATCGCCCATAGAATAAAAGGAGAACATAAAAAAAAAGGGTAAGAAAAATAGACTGGAAAGGAAGGGTCTATAATACAAAAGGTTATTAGCGACATAAAGTGTCAAGAATCGAAGGGCTATTTCCGATAAACCGTTATTTGGGGTATAGGACCGTAATACTTAAGAAAAAAACAATTAAGTATTGTAAAAAAAAAAAAATAAGAGAGATTTCGAGATTCGCGACCTCATTCCATCGCCGTGAAAGCTGCTACCGGAATCGTGTGTTGCAGAGCTAACCCGAAAAGAATGACGAAAAAAGGATTTCAAAAACCAAGAGGAGACTTAAGGTCGGCGCTAAGCCTCGTCTTCGGGAGATCCGGCATCTTTGTCATTCTTGTGTACTTTCTTGTGTCGCCGCAAGTTCGATACAACAGAGAAATGTCTTCCGCAGCCCTCGACTTCACATGCGTAGGCTATATTTAAAAAAAAAAAGTATTAGTCCCAATTGGTCATCGTTCCACGGTTCCAATTGATTTCAGAAAACTTACGCTTCTCGCCTGTGTGACTATACATGTGCGTTTGTAAGGAGGACGGACGAGTGAATCGCTTATCGCACACTTTGCACTTGTGTTTTTTCTGGGTGTTCGACGGCACCTTCGAGTTGAACTGGCCCATCATGGATTGCGGGGGCAGGGCGCCCGCGACCAGGCCCGACGGCCGCGGTAACGTCCTCGATAATCCGTCGTAGGAATCTGACGCTGTCGAGCTGTAATCGGTGACGGACGAATCCACAGAGACCACGGACGCGCTGTAGTAGGGGTAGGTACCGCCGGACGAGATCGACGAGGCCGATGAATGGGGGGTGGGGAAGCCGTAGGAGTCAACTGAGCCTCGCGAGCTTCGGGGGCCGTAGATCGCCCGCGGCGTGAGGTCCTGACTTAACGCGACCATCCCTCGACTCGCATCGAGCGCGTCATTATAGGCCACCTGCTGTGGCTGCGTGACGTGGGGAGAAGGGTCGTTTCTGCAATTCAAAGCATCAGCCAAAGATTCCAAAGAAAGTAAAAGACAGATAATACTCACGCATGATGGACGGCTCTTCCCTCCATGTGCGACGGATGCTGCTGCGGCTGTTGCTGCTGCTGCGGCTGAGGATGTTGGTGTTGCTGCTGGTGCTGGTGCTGCTGGTGGAGGTGAAGCGACTGCGCGTATTCCAGCGACGAGTAGTTGGCGGGCGTGAAAGGAGCCATCTGCGGGGCGCTCGTACACGGCTGCTGGGGCGGCTGCTGCTCAAAGGTCGTTCTGGGCAGCTCCGTGGGCAAAACCACGAGCTCTGCGCCACCATATCCCACATTGCTGTAGTTCCCGTTGGGCACCATGGAGGGCGCGGGGACCTGGGGATTGGGATAGGAGACCGGCAGCGTCGGGGGCCGCGAGACGTCCTCGCGCTTGACGGCCACTGGGTTGCCCGCTACCGCGGACTGGTAGACGGGCGCGGCGGGATGCGCGGCGCTGTGCGGCGGCCACGACTCGTTGAAGTGCGGTGGATTCGAGCGGCCATGGCTGTGATAGACGTTGTCGTAGCTGAGCCCGCCATACTGGCGGCTTCCACTCTCCATAACCATCGTCATTGAGAAGGCTGGTATGTAAAAAAAAAACCAAATACAATAGAAAAGAGCGATCCAAGGCGAGTTGCGCGAGGAGCTGGGGGAGGGTGGTGCTTGATCAACAGGGTCGGGTCGGGTGTGCGACGATGATCAGATCAGCCGATTGCAGCTGGAAAACCAGTTCCAGAGGTGATTTTGATCGCGCGCGCGCACGAGAGAGAGAGAGAAAGCTGTGGTGGGAGAGTGTCGGCAGGCCGTCACCTCATATACACGGCGACGATAGTTCGGCGTCGGTAGTTTGCAAGAGGCAGACGACAGAGCAGCAGCAGAGCAGAATTGAGCTGGGCAGAGCGACAGACAGACAGGCAACAGTGCGGTAGAAGAAGAGTCGCGATGGGCAGCGGTGGTGGAGGCGAGCAGCAGTAGTCGGTAGTAGTCAGTAGTGTGGAGGTCGCGAGCGGCGGAAGCTTTGATGGGCGGATCGGCGCAGATTAACGTGAGGCAGATCGTATTTGTCGAGCAACAATAATGTTTCTTCAGGCACCAGGACGGGTGATATAAGATACAAACAAAATGTTTCAGGCGGGCGACGGACGGGCAAGGCGAGGGAGGGGGGGGAAGGGGACTTGGAGGCAACGGGGGGGGCAGCGAGAGGACGGGGGCGGGATGAAGCAGGTGTTTTATGTTGTTGGGCGGAGGAGGAATGATAGTAATTATGTAGGTATGGGCCGGGGAGGGACGACAAGAAAGCTGGGAACCAGGAAGACCAGAGGGAACACGGCAAGCCAGCCAGCGAAGATGCAACATCTATGTCTTTTAGACTCGAAGTCAAACGCAGCACAGGCAGCGGGCGCGCGCGAGCCCGAGAAGGGAGCAGGCCCAAAGGCGCGCACGAATCACGGGCGGGGGATTGTTTGGCTGGGAGGCTTACCGCTGCAGCCAGCAAGCTGTGTGGAGCCGGCAGTGCTCGCGCGCCGCAGGAAGGCCAGCGGCGTATATACGCGGTACCGCGCCCGTCCGTCTCGTACCGTACGCGTCTGGTACCGTACGCCGCGTCCTGCGTAATCCAATCCGGCGCATTTAAAACGCCGCGTTTCGGCCTTTTGTTTCCAGCCCGTCACCACTTCCCTACTCACCACTCACCACTCACTACTGCTCACCACTCACCACCCACGACTCTTACCACTCACCCGCCGCGCCGCTGCCGGCCCCGAAATACTGCCGCGGTATCCAGTATCGTACGCACCCATCCACCTCCACACCCTCCGCCCACTCTTCTAGGTTTGTCCCAAGGATTGTCGATCCTGAACTGGCCAAATCTTATTCGAAAGGGGGGGCGTTTTGCTCAGAGGATGTGTCGGGGCGTACATTAGCGTCCACTAACGCGACCAGGGGCAGCATGAGATGTGATTTTGCTTTTTGCGTTGGGGTGGTTTGAGATGTCGACGCACACAGCACCGCTCTCTGCGACGGAGGGCCTCTCGCGCTCGGTGGGGCATCAAATCAATCACCTGCATCGATGCGCTGCCCCCCCTTCCCCGTCCCCTCAATGCGGTGCCGTCCCCCCCCTCCCCCCATGAGCCACCGTTCCTGTGCCAAAAAAAAACCGCCCTTCTCTTCCCCGGGCGGGCCTGCCTCTAGAGCTGCCCTGGCGAAAGACCCTGGCGCCCGGCCCTGGCGGAGCCTCGCCTTCGCCTTCGATGATGACTCTGGCTCGCGCGCTGGATCTGATCTATCAGCCTATTATGTACGCGCGAAGCCCGCCGTCAGCCGCAGAACATGATTCATCATAACCACTCCGTACTCCCCCTCCAAAGGGCCTGGGGTCACACAGTCGGAAAGCAGGGATGGCTGCAATGCAGAATCCAAAAAAGACTCTGCATTTTTCTTCGCTCGCCCATTGGCCCTGCGTCGAATTCCGAAGCAGCCAGCGACCGGAGCTGATTTTTGCCCCGGCGCAAGCACATTGGCGAGTTCCGTGCTCGCATTGTTGATTTGCCGAATGCAGCATTTATCACGGTCATTGTGCATATTACTTGCTCCCGTACCCAGCCCTCCCTTCCGAGGGGGGGAGAGGTGGGTGCAAATAGTCCCTCAGGCTAGCCAAAACCATCAGCTTGCTTTCTTTACAAGCTGGTCTTCAGACAGGCAATGCCGGCAGGACTACCGGTTTTTGCGCCGTATTATCGCGGGTTCGGTCCTGGCGGGCGCAATCGAGCGAAAAATGGGCTGCTGACCGGCGGCCAGTCAGAACAGCGGCTGTCTATGCAGCATGATCGCAAGACCTGGCTCTGTCGGGTTCGCCAACTGCCCAAAGTTCGTCGAGATGGCACTAGTGGTTAATCCGTTTAAGCTTATCTGGCCGGCGTCAAATAGTCGATGTGAGAGGTCTCACAATGAGCGCAATCACAGCGTCACTGGCTCTGGCTGCTGCGCAGGATATTTGTCAACGACTGCTTCAATTGCGCCGGAGATTGCGCAGCATGATGTGTTCCAACGCTGGCTGGCTGGCTGGCGGTGGTGGTGGTAGTTGTGGGTGCTGCTGCTGCGGTACCAGGACGGGACTAGACGCCCGCCTGCTGCCACCGAGGGCCTGAGCACAGGTCATTGTTGTCCACACCTGGCTCGTATCGTACCAAAGGGCGCGCTGGAGCTTTGTGTTGACAAAGTGGAAGGCTAGAGGGACATCATGCTCCGTACCGGGCCCGACCAAAGGTTATCTTCACCCGAGTCTGAGTTTGCCAGAGCCACCCACAGCGAGTCGCAAGCCAGGGAGTCCCTGCTAGCGCACACCAGGGTGGCGGTGGGTGGGGCGGCGCGTCCCCACCGCGCGGTGACTTGGCACGAATACAAGCGTTTGAGGGACGTGGGGGTGCACCGCAGCACGGACTAATGCGCTGTGTTTGCCGTGCGGGGGCACCACGAAGCGGTAAAGAGACCGCTGCGCATGTCGTCGCGACTGCGGGCACCGGGTTGCGGCACGCTGGGCCGCCGGCCAGAGGCCTTCAGCACCCAGCCGGAAAAAAACAAAAGGCAGCTGGCCCTGAACCGGCCGTGGCGTGCGCCTTGCTTTTTGGTCGTCGGCCGAAGTTTGAGACCCGGCTGAGCCAAGGGCGCCGGATTTTCAGTGCGACGGAATGGGCGCTCTTAGCGTCGGCATAGCGCCCCGCCACTGCGCTGACTCAACAGTCTTGGCGTCGTCGAAGCCGCCAAGCCCTTTTCGGATGGGAAAAACCGGAACTGTGAGACCAAGGCCGCTTCACGTGACGGCTGCATCATGCGCAGTTCGCTGCAGACCACCTCTTCCAGCTGGTTATACATAGGCAAGTGGGAGTCGGCGCCGCGTGCTGGTGCCAGAACGCAGCAGCAATCTTGATTACGTCGGTGCGACCTTGGACGGCATATACACACTGCTTCCCGTTGCCGAGAAACCGCCCATATCCGGATTCTTGCGGTTGATCAGGAACATGGATGGTGCCCAACCGTCCTGACACTCGTGAGAGAATCTGGATTCTGGCTCCTTCTAAAAATACGCTGGGAGCACCTTTCCTTGCGTAACATCTGTCGCAGGCCGCAAAGGCCCCGGAATACCACTCGCTCATTCGTCGCGCCAGAGAAAAAGGGCTGAATGAAGCACAGGAGGGTTGACTTCGCAACCCAGGCCCTCCTGTTTCCAGCGACATGGGAACAGATTCCAGATCGGCGACCAGCGCGGCCGCAGTGTGCGCTTAACTCTAAATCGTTGCGGCGGGTGGATGGGTGATGATCAATATCAAACCCATACTAATATCTGGGGGGGGCGGAGGGGCGCTTCGTGCACTTGGTACGGAACGCTCTCCGAACCTCGTAGTTCGTTCGTATTATTCTTCCTCAGCGGTGTGTTTAGAATGGACTTACCCAAAGCGGGGAGGAGGAGTCGCCTGGGAAAGCGGGGGAGCTTTTTATTCTTATTTTTTTTTTTTTTTTTTTTTTTTTTTTTTCTTTGCCAAGGGGCCCGAGGGAGAACGAGAAGAGAGCGCGGGATACCAAAGCTGCGTAATTTGGTCTTTGGGGACGGCGGTGTGATTGGCCGGTGATGAGGTGAGAACATACGGCACGCACGTAACTATGTCGGTGATATGTCCGAAGGTGCTGCGTCGGTCACCAAATTTCCCGTATCCTCCTCCTTCCAACGACTCCCGCTTCCGATGGTATGTACTCAGGAGTGTTGCGCGGCGCGCGACATGGGGCACGGCACGGCAGGTGAATTGACATTTTGGATGGAGCCCATGGAGCTGGGAGACCGCCGCCACTGGGCATCGACTGGCTGGTGGATGAGGCTGGGGCCCAACTCTGGGCAGACCAAGCATGTTCAAGTGTTGTAGAAAAGGAGAACGACAGACGGAGGAGGATCGGGTGGCGGCTCAGCAGCGTGAAACTCCGTCTAGATAGCAAACTGGAGTCGTCGTCATCAGCAGCAGCAGCAACAGCAACAGCAGCAGCTGCTGCTCCTGAGAAGGAGCCGTTAGTTAGTCGGAGAAGAAGGCCGTCCCGATCGATGGACGGGAGGTTCATCGCCAATTTGCGGGGGCAGCGGTAGCTGTGGCATCGCGCTGCCGCTCTCTGGAGGGGGGCACGTCAGGCACCACGACCTTACCCAAGTCGGCCTAGCGCGGACTGGGTAAGCTTCGCTAACGCGACCGGTGGCGTCGCGCAGCGGTGGAGACTGCCCTCCCGGGGCAGCCAATGAGGCGCCCGCGCTCGCTGTTCGCTGACGTCCCGGCCGACTGCCTGCCTGCCTACACTGGCTGACCGCCGCTCCCCCCCCTGCTCCTAGTAGTGCTGCTGCCGATACGGAGTACTCTATACTACTACTGAAGGCAGCACAAGAATAATAATGCAATAATGCTCTTGTCGCGGCTGGCTGGGTTCTGATCACACCGATGTTTTACGCTGCGACGAACACTGAAAAAAGTCGGCCAGATTCCTTGCCTCACCATCCAAGCAATCCAAGTTTTTTGCTACAACTGTCCCCAAAC